ACACTTCAACTGTGAGAGACGGAATCGAAAACAAAAATCCAGAAAATCACATTGTATGATTTTTAAGGAATTAATTTGCATTTTATTGCATGACATAAGTATTTGATACATCAGAAAAGCAGAACATAATATTTGGTACAGAAACCTTTGTTTGCAATTACAGAGATCATACAGTTCCTGTTGGTCTTGACCAGGTTTGCACACACTGCAGCAGGGATTTTGGCCCACTCCTCCATACAGACCTTCTCCAGATCCTTCAGGTTTCGGGGCTGTCGCTGGGCAATACGGACTTTCAGCTCCCTCCAAAGATTTTCTATTGGGTTCAGGTCTGGAGACTGGCTAGGCCACTCCAGGACCTTGAGATGCCTCTTACGGAGCCACTCCTTAGTTGCCCTGGCTGTGTGTTTCGGGTCATTGTCATGCTGGAAGTCCAAGCCACGACCCATCTTCAATGCTCTTACTGAGGGAAGGAGGTTGTTGGCCAAGATCTCGCGATACATGGCCCCATCCATCCTCCCCTCAATACGGTGCAGTCGTCCTGTCCCCTTTGCAGAAAAGCATCCCCAAAGAATGATGTTTCCACCTCCATGCTTCACGTTTGGGATGGTGTTCTTGAGGTTGTACTCATCCTTCTTCTTCCTCCAAACACGGCGAGTGGAGTTTAGACCAAAAATATATATTTTTGTCTCATCAGACCACATGACCTTCTCCCATTCCTCCTTTGGATCATCCAGATGGTCATTGGCAAACTTCAGACTTGCCTAGACTTGCACAGTTGTTGCCTTCTCACCAAGCTGCTTGCCTATTGTCCTGTAGCCCATCCCAGTCTTGTGCAGGTCTACAATTTTATCCCTGATGTCCTTACACAGCTCTCTGGTCTTGGCCATTGTGGAGAGGTTGGAGTCTGTTTGATTGAGTGTGTGGACAGGTGTCTTTTACACAGGTAACGAGTTCAAACAGGTGCAGTTAATACAGGTAATGAGTGGAGAACAGGAGGGCTTCTTAAAGAAAAACTAACAGGTCCGTGAGAGCCGGAATTCTTACTGGTTGGTAGGTGATCAAATACTTATGTCATGCAATAAAATGCAAATTAATTACTTAAAAATCATACAATGTGATTTTCTGGATTTTTGTTTTAGATTCCATCTCTCACAGTTGAAGTGTACCTATGATAAAAATTACAGACCTCTACATGCTTTGTAAGTAGGAAAACCTGCAAAATCGGCAGTGTATCAAATACTTGTTCTCCCCACTGTATATATATATGTATGTATATGTGTGTGTGTGTGTGTATATACAGTGCATTCGGAAAGTATTCAGACCCCTTGACTTTTCCTACATTTTGTTACGTTACAGCCTTATTCTAAAATGGATGAAAAATAATAATAATCCTCATCAATCTACACACAATACACCATAATGAAAAAGCAAAAACAGGTTTTTTGACATTTTTGCAAATTGATTAAAAATTTGAAACAGAAATACCTTATTTACATAAGTATTCAGACCCTTTGCTGTGAGACTCGAAATTGAGCTCCGGTGCATCCTGTTTCCATTGATAATCCTTGAGATGTTTCTACAAATTGATTGGAGCTGTCCGCCTGGCCAAACTGAGCAATCCGGGGAGAAGGGCCTTGTTCAGGGAGGTGACCAGGTTTCCTCCAGACGTGATGCTTGGCATTCAGGCCAAAGAGGTCAATATTTGTTTTATCAGACCAGAGTATCTTGTTTCTCATGGTCTGAGAGACCTTTAGGTGCCTTTTGGCAAACTCCAAGCAGACTGTCATGTGCCTTTTACTGAGGAGTGGCTTCTATTTGGCCACTCTACCATAAAGGCCTGATTGGTGGAGTGATGCAGAGATGGTTGTCCTTCTGGAAGGTTCTCCCATCTCCACAGAGGAACTCTGGAGCTCTGTCAGAGTGACCATCGGGTTCTTGGTCACCTCCCTGACCAAGGCCCTTCTCTCCTGATTGCTCAGTTTGGCCGGGCGGCCAGCTCTAGGAAGAGTCTTGGTGGTTCCAAACTTCTTCCATTTAAGAATGTGTTTTTGGAGACCTTCAATGCTGGTACCCTTCCCCAGATCTGTGCCTTGACACAATCCTGTCTCGGAGCTCTACAGACAATTCCTTCGACCTTATGGCTTGGTTTTTGTTCCGACATGCACTGTCAACTGTGGTACCTTTTTATATAGACAGGTGTGTGCCTTTCCAAATCATGTCCAATCAATTGAATGTACCACAGGTGGACTCCAATCAAGTTGTAGAAACATCTCAAGGATGATCAATGGAAACAGGATGCGCCTGAGCTCAATTTCGAGTCTCATAGCAAAGGGTCTGAATACTTATGTAAATAAGGTATTTTTGTTATTTTTGTTATAGATTTGCAACAAATTCTAAAAACTTGTTTTCGTCTGTTGGACTGCCAGATAATAAAGGGTGATTTATCACTCCAGAGAACGCGTTTACACTGCTACAGAGTCCAATGGCGGCAAGCTTTTCTCCAGCCGACTCTTGGCATTGCACATTGTTATCTTAGGCTTGTGTCATGGAAACCCATTTCATGAAGCTCCCGACAAACAGTTTTTGTTCTGACGTTGCTTCCAGAGGCAGTTTGGAACTCGGTAGTGAGTGTTGCAACCGATTACAGAGGATTTTTACGCACTACGCGCTTCAGCACTCGGCGATGCCGTTCTGTGAGATTGTGTGGCCTACCACTTCACGGCTGAGACGTTGTTGCTCCTAGACGTTTCCACTTCACATAACAGCACTTACAATTGACCGGGGCAGCTCTATCAGGGAAGAAGTTTAACGAACTGACTTGTTGGAAAGGTGGCATCCTATGACGGTGCCACGTTGAAAGTCATTGAGCTCTTCAGTAAGGCCATTCTACTGCCAATATTTGTTAATGAAGATTGCATGGTGTGCTCGATTTTATACACCTGTCAGCAACGGTTGTGGCTGAAATAGCCAAATCCACTAATTTGAAGAGGTCTCCACATACCTTTGTATATATAGTGTATCACTATAATGTAAGTATTCACATCCCTGAGTCAATACATTGTAGAAGCAGTGATTACAGTTTTGAGTCTTTCTGGGTAAGTCTCTTAAGTGCTTTCCACATCTGGATTGTGCAACATTTGCTCATTCTTTTTTTCAAAATTCTTCAAGCTCCGTCAATTTGGTTGTTAATCATTGCTAGACAACCATTTTCAGGTCTTGCCATAGATTTTCAAGAAGATTTAAGTCAAAACTGTAATTCTGCCACTCAGGAACTTTTACTGTCTGCTTGGTAAGCAACTCCAGTGTAGATATGACCTTGTGTTTTAGGTTATTGTCCTGATGAAAGATGAATTAATCTCCCAGTGTCTGGTGGAAGGCAGACTGAACCAGGTTTTCCTCTAGGATTTTGCCTGTGCTTACATCCATTCCATTTCTCCTCAGTCCTTAATGATTACAAGCATACCCATAACATGATGCAGCCACCACTATGCTTGAAAATATGGAGTGGTACTCAGTAATTGGATTTGCCCCAAACATAACGCTTTGTATTCAGGACAAAAAGTGAATTGCTTTGCCAATTTCTTTTGCAGTATTAGTTTAGTGCCTTGTTGCAAACAGGATGCATGTTTTGGAATATTTTTTATTCTATACGGGCTTCCGTCTTTTCACTCTGTCGTTTAGGTTAGTATTGTGAAGTAACTACAATGTTGTTGATCCATCCTCAGTTTTCTCCTATCACAGCCATTAAACTCTGTAACTGTTTTAAAGTCACCATTTGCCTTATGGTGAAATCCTTGAGCAGTTTCCCTCCTCTCCGGCAACTGAGTTAGGAAGGATGCCTGTATCTTTGTAGTCAATGGGTGTATTGATACACAATCCAAAGTGTAGTTAATAACTTTACCATGCTCAAAGGGATATTCAGTGTCTGCTTTTTTTGGGAGGGGGGGCCTTCTTTGCGAGGTGTTGGAAAACCTCCCTGGTCTTTGTGGTTGAATCTGTGTTTTGACATTCATTGCTCAACTGAGGGACCATACAGATAATTGTATGTGTGGGGTAGAGAGATGAGGTAGTCATTCAAAAATCATGTTAAACACAATTATTATACACAGAGTGAGTCCATGCAACTTATTATGGGACTTGTTAAGTACATTGTTATTCCTGAACTTATTTAGGCTTGCCATTACAAAGGGGTTGAATGCTTATTGACTCAAGACATTTCAGCATTTCATTTTGTATTAATTTGTAACATTTTTGAAAAACATAATTCCACTTTGACATTATGGGGTATTGTGTGTAGGCCAGTGACACAAAATGTCAATTTAATCCATTTTAAATTCAGGCTGTAACACAACAAAATGTGGAAAAAGTCAAGGGGTTTGAATACTTTCTGAAGGCACTGTATACTTGAATGAATCAATGAACCCTCAATCCACCTCACTTAGTTAAATAACAAGAGCGGTAGGCTATCAGATGGGTACACTTAGTGATATGAGGGCCCTGGATGATGCTAAAACAGTGTAGTGTTCAGTTCAGGCGAAAACGTTTTGATAGAGTGAATCATAGAGCTACTGCGACCTGAACTTGACCAATAAGAATGCAGATTTTTGTGCTCTGTTGTGAAATATTTTTCTACGCTCTACCCTAATAAACAGGACCCAGCTCTCTAGAAGGCCTAACAATGAGGTGCAGTGCACCATCCCTCAGGAAACTGAAATCACATCCTGGAATTGAGCATGGAGATAACCCACCATGACCTTACAGTACTATTTCCTGTTTGTTCACGCTTATTTTGGTGTAGTCGCTGGCACTCAGCGACGTTTGTGAGGAAAAGAAACAGGAATACATGTTTCAATGAGACGTGTGTCTCTTGAGTTAGTTTGTCCCTGTATTTGTTTTATTTTTTAATCTCACATTCAGTCAGAATGTAAAGACATGCCTGTAAGGAGTTTATTTGTGAGGGAAATGTGATAGCGCTAAAACGTTAAGGGTCCAATCCTAACATGAGCACCAAACACGACTCAAAGGTTCATGTACACTAAATCATCTGAATGTAAAGTTATGATGTGGCCCTATTGCAAATAGAATACATGCAGTCAATGACAAAATTGACTCAGTCAAACACCCACACAGCCCCTAAAATTAAGTGGACCCCGAGCTCCCAGAAATGTTGGGTAAAGTCAGAGAACTCTGTCCCATAAGGGACTGTACATTATTTATAATGAGGGATACCTGGGAAAAATCAGACCTTTCTGAAATGAAAATGGATGTCCCTCCCTTCAGCAAAATAAAGTTTTACCCAACCGTCCCTGAAAACTAGGAGAAAAAAAGCAAGTGACCTTCCCCTATACCCAAAATAATAATTAAAACATAAAGTGGATAGCAGAGAAGATGCCTCACTCCTAGGACAGACCAGGGCTGGGTTTCCCAAAAGCATCGTAGCACTAAGATCATCTTAATTCCGTTGACACTAAATGGTCGGAAGATTATCTTAGTGCTACGATGCTTTAGGGAAACCCAGTCCAGAGCCATAGCTATGCAGTTTTAGAAACTGGTCTTCATTTTGTAAGCATTACATGGCAAAGTAGCCAGAAGGTTGCAGACAAGGGTAGGGGTGAAAATATATCCATTTTAATAAAAGCCCTGTATGAATCTTATTTGACATGACTGGAGACAAACAGAATCGTATTTAATACCACAACAGAGCATGACAACGAATGAGCGCATGCTGCAGCACCGAAGACGTTTTGATTTCTATACAGGCTATTGTTAAAAAAGGAGTTTGGAACAGTGCTAAAGTTGTCTATCAACTGTAAAAATGGAGCACAACATAACCAGTTACAATATGAAGTATCTGATCATCAATCAATTCGAGAGAAAAAACATTTGTTTAACACAGCAGCCGCATATCATCAGGTAGGCTTATATGCACTTGTAACTTTGTTTCATTTGGGAAACTATAATTTTCTAATTTATTCTATTTTATTCCATAATATTATTGTTACAAAATAGATATGTGTTGAATGTGATTAGGGCATGGGAATATAAGGCTAAATTAACTGCTAGGCTAAATTAACAAACTAGGCATGCATAGCTCACCGCATGATCCTCAAACCACAGACTGGCCAAACTCATGTTTCTAGAAGTGAACTCAAAGTCACTGTAGAATGACTGTATAGCCTAATTTTTTGTTTAATTATTATTTAATTCTAAGTACTTTATTGGCATGTTGTTGAAGTGCTGTTGTTGATGTGTTGTTGAAATGCTGAATGGTCCTGCCAGCCTGTAACATGTCACAAATGCTTCACAATTGATTTCTAAAATGGCAGGCTATAGCCTTGAATTAATAGTAACATAGCCTAAATAATAATTAATTTAGGCTACCTGGCTTGCTCCTGACTGATTTTAGCGTTAGTATGTTATTTAATAGCCTGTTGAAATGTCAAAAGTCAATTGATAGTGACAGAATTACATATTACTTCCCAAGCAAAGTCAATTTTTTTGTCTCCTCGACTATAGAAGGTTGTATTGCAGCCTCTGAATGTCATAGAGACAAACAAAATATATCCCATATGCATCAGAGTCACGTCTTTCCCCTTGCATTTTACAGCTTGTTTCTAGCATTGCGGACTAAAGCATTGTTATAGATCTTTATACAATCAGGTCCTTTAAATGTTTTTCAAAGGGGTAGACCTATGCTTTTAGCCATTTCCTTTAACAAAAGCCACAATATCCTCACATACCCCCTCAATTCGAGCCCTGGTTTTAACTTAACACACCAAGCTCTTCACTGAGACCGAGACATTTAAGGAGTTACTGAAGGAATTAGCTGACAAAATCTATAGTAGGCCTGTCAAACAGGTAGGCCTAACTCTTATTTCTTGAATAGGAAGAAATAGGCTCCAACACAAAGCACTCTTGATGTTAGTAGCCTAACAGTACATTTACTACTGGTGACATATGTAATGGGCAAAATCTAAGGGCAAACAATTCACATAATGAAACAATGAATGCGCAGGAATTGGCAGGAGACAGTTCTGGAGAGTGGCTCACCTATATCTTCGCCACACACACCTCCCCTTCTTGTCTCAACATTTTAAATTATACTCAAGACACATTATATTTTAGATGCTTTTCACTGACAGCCGCAACTCAATAATCATCTAGGCCTATTGCCACGTGCGCCTATTGCCACGTCCAAATTGTGGGCTTCCCCAATAGGCATGGGCCTACGAGCTTGTGATTTGAAACAATCCACAACAATCCCAATTTTTTTTTTAAATAAGCTAATGATCCTCGATTATTCTGTGGCTAAATCATGCTTTCTGGTGAAGTATTTTGAATTATTTTATTTATTTCTGTATAGACAGGAGTAATTGTATAATTTTGGCAAATCTATTTATATTTACTTTCCTATTGGACCACCGCTATGCCATTTCTCTCCTGTTCTAAGTTTCTATCAGAGATTTTAATCTCTGTCACATATGGAACCGCTAACAGTTGCGCTGTTTAGAATGCTTTTTTCCCAGGTGCGCTGTTTAGAATACTGTTTTCCCGCTAATTGCATTTTGGCAAATTTAAAAAAATGATGTTTTATTGGCTGCTTCATTACATTATTTCCATGTTCTGTTAAGAACATTACCATAATCTAAATGTGATTTCTGTCACTCTGGGCACTGTGCCCAATGCATATGGATCCGGTAAATTTCTCAAATGGCATGTACATTTAAAATCTTCCAGGTCACCTTGTCCGGCACCACATTTTCCTAACGGAAACCCTGGCACAGATATTGCATATTTTGGACAAATAAAAATATATTTTAAAAAGAAGCCTTTGACTCACCTCCTGAAGTGTCACCCTACACAGCACAGTTATTGGTTAGGCAGCACAAAAGGGTTAACATCATCAAGAGCAGGGCAGGCCGGGCTCATGATTGGGAATGCCTATCCATTGCAGTGTGCAATGCAGTGTAGCCTAATTTCATATAAACCATCCCAGAAGCACAAAAACTCGGGATGTACAGTGGGGGAAAAAAGTATTTAGTCAGCCACCAATTGTGCAAGTTCTCCCACTTAAAAAGATGAGAGAGGCCTGTAATTTTCATCATAGGTACACATCAACTTTGACAGACAAAATTTTTTTTTTTCTCCAGAAAATCACATTGTAGGATTTTTAATGAATTTATTTGCAAATTATGGTGGAAAATAAGTATTTGGTCAATAACAAAAGTTTCTCAATACTTTGTTATATACCCTTTGTTGGCAATGACAATGGTCAAACGTTTTCTGTAAGTCTTCACAAGGTTTTCACACACTGTTGCTGGTATTTTGGCCCATTCCTCCATGCAGATCTCCTCTAGAGCAGTGATGTTTTGGGGCTTTCGATGGGCAACACGGACTTTCAACTCCCTCCAAAGATTTTCTATGGGGTTGAGATCTGGAGACTGGCTAGGCCACTCCAGGACCTTGAAATGCTTCTTACGAAGCCACTCCTTCGTTGCCCGGGCGGTGTGTTTGGGATCATTGTCATGCTGAAAGACCCAGCCACGTTTCATCTTCAATGCCCTTGCTGATGGAAGGAGGTTTTCACTCAAAATCTCACGATACATGGCCCCATTCATTCTTTCCTTTACACGGATCAGTCGTCCTGGTCCCTTTGCAGAAAAACTGCCCCAAAGCATGATGTTTCCACCCCCATGCTTCACAGTAGGTATGGTGTTCTTTGGATGCAACTCAGCATTCTTTGTCCTCCAAACACGACGAGTTGAGTTTTTACCAAAAAGTTCTATTTTGGTTTCATCTGACCATATGACATTCTCCCAATCCTCTTCTGGATCATCCAAATGCACTCTAGCAAACTTCAGACGGGCCTGGACATAAACTGGCTTAAGCAGGGGGACACATCTGGCACTGCAGGATTTGAGTCCCTGGTGGTGTAGTGTGTTACTGATGGTAGGCTTTGTTACTTTGGTCCCAGCTCTTTGCAGGTCATTCACTAGGTCCCCCCGTGTGGTTCTGGGATTTTTGCTCACCGTTCTTGTGATCATTTTGACCCCACGGGGTGAGATCTTGCGTGGAGCCCCAGATCGAGGGAGATTTTCAGTGGTCTTGTATGTCTTCCATTTCCTAATAATTGCTCCCACAGTTGATTTCTTCAAACCAAGCTGCTTACCTATTGCAGATTCAGTCTTCCCAGCCTGGTGCAGGTCTACAATTTTGTTTCTGGTGTCCTTTGACAGCTCTTTGGTCTTGGCCATAGTGGAGTTTGGAGTGTGACTGTTTGAGGTTGTGGACAGGTGTCTTTTATACACATAACAAGTTCAAACAGGTGCCATTAATACAGGTAACGAGTGGAGGACAGAGGAGCCTCTTAAAGAAGAATTTACAGGTCTGTGAGAGCCAGAAATCTTGCTTGTTTGTAGGTGACCAAATACTTATTTTCCACCATCATTTGCAAATAAATTCATAAAAAATCATACAATGTGATTTTCTCAACAAATTTTTTTTCTCAATTTGTCTGTCATAGTTGACGTGTACCTATTATGAAAATGACAGGCCTCTCTCATCTTTTTAAGTGGGAGAACTTGCACAATTGGTGGCTGACTAAATACCTTTTTCCCCCACTGTAAGTACATTTTCTTCGAAAAATAACTTTGCCCTGTGCTTCTCCGAGCATGCTCTTCGTATAGCCTAGGCCTATAGTATAGGCTATGGATAATTTTATTGAGACCACACTAGGCACACCTGATATTACGCGCCCAGCAGAGAATCAGGGATGAGGGGCATCATCGGGAACACATTGAGATACTATAATAACAAACTAATTCTCAAACCCTGAGCAATATGACATTTTAATCGATTACAAATTACATGACTCTCCCCTTTACTAAATAAAAAAATACTAAACCCTCCCCCTAGGAATTTTTCAACATGCCAAGGAGTATCAGCCCAGGCACATGGCTGGAGTTACAGTGAGGGGAAAAAAGTATTTGATCCCCTGCCGATTTTATATGTTTTCCCACTGACAAAGAAATTATCAGTCTATAATTTTAATGGTAGGTTTATTTGAACAGTGAGAGACTGAATAACAACAAAACAATCCAGAAAAACGCACGTCAAAAATGTTATAAATTGATTTGCATTTTAATGAGGGAAATAACTATTTTACCCCCTCTCAATTAGAAAGATTTCTGGCTCCCAGGTGTCTTTTATACAGGTAACGGGCTGATTGGGAGCACACTCTTAAAGGGAGTGCTCCTAATCTCAGCTTGTTACCTGTATAAAAGACACCTGTCCACAGAAGCAATCAATCAATCAGGTTCCAAACTCTCCACCATGGCCAAGCCCAAAGAGCTCTCCAAGGATGTCAGGGACAAGATTGTAGACCTACACAAGGCTGGAATGGGCTACAAGACCATCGTCAAGCAGCTTGGTGAGAAGGTGACAACAGTTGTTGCAATTATTCGCAAATGGAAGAAACACAAAATAACTGTCAATCTCCCTCGGCCTGGGGCTCCATGCAGGATCTCACCTCGTGGAGTTGCAATGATCATGAGAACGGTGAGGAATCAGCCCATAACTACACGGGAGGATCTTGTCAATGATCTCAAGGCAGCTGGGACCATAGTCACCAAGAAAACAATTGGTAACACACTACGCCATGAAGGACTGAAATCCTGCAGCGCCCGCAAGGTCCCCCTGCTCAAGAAAGCACATATAAAGGGCCGTCTGAAGTTTGCCAATGAACATCTGAATGATTCAGAGGAGAACTGGGTGAAAGTGTTGTGGTCAGATGAGACCAAAATCGAGCTCTTTGGCATCAACTCAACTCGCCGTGTTTGGAGGAGGAGGAATGCTGCCTATGACCTCAAGAACACCATCCCCACCGTCAAACATGGATGTGGAAACATTATGCTTTGGGGTTGTTTTTCTGCTAAGGGGACAGGACAACTTCACCGCATCAAAGGGACGATGGACGGGGCCATGTACCGTCAAATCTTGGGTGAGAACCTCCTTCCCTCAGCCAGGGCATTGAAAATGGGTCGTGGATGGGTATTCCAGCATGACAATGACCCAAAACACACGGCCAAGGCAACAAAGGAGTGGCTCAAGAAGAGGCACATTAAGGTCCTGGAGTGGCCTAGCCAGTCTCCAGACCTTAATCCCATAGAAAATCTGTGGAGGGAGCTGAAGGTTCGAGTTGCCAAACGTCAGCCTCGAAACCTTTATGACTTGGAGAAGATCTGCAAAGAGGAGTGGAACAAAATCCCTCCTGAGATGTGTGCAAACCTGGTGGCCAACTACAAGAAACATCTGACCTCTGTGATTGTCAACAAGGGTTTTGCCACCAAGTACTAAATCATGTTTTGCAGAGGCGTCAAATACTTATTTCCCTCATTAAAATGCAAATCAATTTATAACATTTTTGACATGCGTTTTTCTGGATTTTTTTGTTGTTTTTCTGTCTCTCACTGTTCAAATAAACCTACCATTAAAATTATAGACTGATCATGTCTTTGTCAGTGGGCAAACGTACAAAATCAGCAGGGGATCAAATACTTTTTTCCCCTCACTGAAAGTGTGGACAGATGATGCTCTGAGGACATCCCCCTCCCCCTAGTTGACTCCACTTGACCCCTAGACTGGGGGGGAACATCCCTCCCCACATTCCTGGTTTGGCGCTGACTACAGTGACATTTTGAGTTCCCCTGTCGAACCCCTCAGTCCTGTTGCGATGTACTGTGCTGAGGACACCAGGGTTGTTGTGTTCAGTAAGGCACACTGTATTAAAATGTTTTACGTCAGGTAGTAACTCAAAATGTTTCTAAAGGTTTTCTTCCTACTGAACATGACCAATGGTCTTTAGGCACTCACCACCATCCCAGTCCCTGTACATCAGAGGCAGAGCTCTACTAGTCATTGTGTCATATCCTTGATATACTGTCTATTAGCAGACTCATCTTCTCTCCCAGCTGTGTTGCATTTGGGAGAACTCTGCTATGGCGGGCAATGAGGGATGATGGAGGGAAAAGTCATTGAGTTCATTAGCCTAGTAGTTTTGATTATTAATCATTAATATTCATACATTTTATTGTATTAATCGTTGGGTTGTTTGCTGGAGATGAGGCAGACAGAGGCTATGTTCCAATGTTCATACTGTACTAGCATACTACTTAGAATGCATGCTCAGCCCAATACAGTACATTGCTTCATTCTAAGTGCCTGTGTGTTTAAGTTAGCGTAACATAGTCAGTTTTGGTTAAAAATATTTCAAACTTAAAGGGATAGTTTAGCAATTTTACATTTTAAGATCATCAGCTTTCAAGGTACAGTTGAAGTCGGAAGTTTACATACACCTTAGACAAATACATTTAAACTCAATTAGTATTTGGTAGCATTGCCTTTAAATTGTTTAACTTGGGTCAAACATTTCAGGTAGCCTTCCACAAGCTTCCCATAATAAGTTGGGTGAATTTTGTCCCATTCCTCCTGACAGAGCTGGTGTAACTGAGTCAGGTTTGTAGGCCTCCTTGCTCGCACATGCTTTTTCAGTTCTGCCCACAAATTCTCTATAGGATTGAGGTCAGGGCTTTGTGATGGCCACTCCAATACCTTGACTTTGTTGTCCTTAAGCCATTTTGCCACAACTTTGGAAGTATGCTTGGGGTCATTGTCCATTTGGAAGACCCATTTGCGACCAAGCTTTAACTTCCTGACTGATGTCTTGAGATGTTGCTTCAATATATCCACATACTTGTCCTTCCTCATGATGCCATCTATTCTGTGAAGTGCACCAGTCCCTCCTGCAGCAAAGCACCCCCACAGCATGATGCTGCCACCCCCGTGCTTCACGGTTGGGATGGTGTTCTTCGGCTTGCAAGCCAGCCCCGTTTTCCTCCAAACATAACGATGGTCATTATGGCCAAACTTTTTGTTTCATCAGACCAGAGGACATTTCTCCAAAAAGTATGATATTTTTCCCCATGTGCAGTTGCAAATCGTAGTCAGACTTTTTTATGGCGGTTTTGGAGCAGTGGCTTCTTCCTTGTTGAGCTGCCTTTCAGGTTATGTCGATATAGGACTCTTTTACTGTGGATATAGATACTTTTGTACCTGTTTCCTACAGCATCTTCACAAGGTCCTTTGCTGTTGTTCTGGGATTGATTTGCACTTTTCGCACCAAAGTACGTTCATCTCTAGGAGACAGAACGCGTCTCCTTCCTTAGCGGTATGACGGCTGCGTGGTCCCATGGTGTTTATACTTGCGTACTATTGTTTGTACAGATGAACGTGGTACCTTCAGGCGTTTGGAAATTGCTCCCAATGATGAACCAGAATTTTGGAGGTATACAATTATTTTTCTGAGGTCTTGGCTGATTTCTTTTGATTCTTCTCATGATGTCAAGCAAAGAGGCACTGAGTTTGAAGGTAGGCCTTGAAATACATCCACAGGTACACCTCCAATTGACTCAATTAGCCTATCAGAAGCTTCTAAAGCCATGACATAATTTTCTGGAATTGTCCAAGCTGTTTAAAGGCACAGTCAACTTAGTGTATGTAAACTTCTGACCTACTGGAATTGTGATACAGTGAATTATAAGTGAAATAATCTTTCTGTAAACAATTGTTGGAAAAATTACTTGTGTCATGCACAAAGTAGATGTCCTAACCGACTTGCCAAAACTATAGTTTGTTAACAAGAAATGTGTGGAGTGGTTGAAAAACGAGTTTGAATGACTCCAACCTAAGTGTATGTAAACTTCCAACTTCAACTGTAAGTGAACAAATATCTAAATATGTAAAATCGCCGAACTATCCCTTACATTTTTTATTTAACAGGGGAACTGAATTCTTAGATTAATTGTAAGACATAAAACCATTTCAAACACAGTAAATGTATTACATTTATTTTCCTTCTTTTCCCAGGAGTCCATGAATGCCTTGGCCCTGGATCTGGACTACCCGGCGCTACGAAAAAACAAAAACATAGATGCCTTCTTAAACCGATGTAAGAGCTTTCCTAGTAGAATTGCTTTAATTAATGCAGACCATCATTATAAGATTATCATGCATTGCATTATCTAGACTTCTTCCATATCAGACATAGCGGAAGACAGGTTCCTGATTGATTTACAGTCGACTTCTGATATTTGTATATTTGATACTGTTATGAGTGTGTTTGTGCCTATTTGAAGCGTGGACATATCCGGAGTACATTAAAATAATATATATTTTTGAATTAGGACAGGTAGATTAGATTGCATTGTTACAGAGTTAGCTCTCACTATTTTGAGTCCTGCATTCAGTCGACTTTTTACCATCCCAATTCTAGGCTATGTTCAATATTGCAATCCATTGTCATCCTTAGTTACAGGTTTATAACAACTAACTACAGTTTCTGTATCAACCCCTGCCTTGCAATATTTCATATCAGAATACTATATAATAAGTAGTATGAAACCTGTAACATATATAATATCACCCTATCCCTAGTAATTAGTGATACAATACAGATATAAGAGCAAGTTATTTTAAAGTATTACTGACCTTATCTGTATCTTACCTATGGAGGTGTATAGAGATCATTACTTGGAAATAACCAGTTTTTGCATGGTCATTGCCATTGATGGCTTCCTCCATTTGAAAGTAGTCAACTGGATGGGGATTCCTATGGGTTGGGAGCGATCAGACAATGATCAGAGCATTGTCTGCTTCAAATAGTTTTGCCTAGTTTGGCTTAAAGCTAATGGCTTTAAGCAAGATGACCGCCATCTAGTGGTCGCATTAAATGACTGACACACAAGATTTGGTTCAAGACTCCAGGACGAAGGTGGTGGGCGGTAAGTCACCAATATTAGCTTGGCATTTTTTTCAAACACCAAAGAAGAAGAAAATGTACACCTTAAAATGGAGATAGCCTCAATGCTGACCATGCTGTCACAGATGCCATAATGGCACAGATACAACGTTGCGATCTCTATACATCTCTATGATCTTACCTTGACATGTAAGTAACCACTGGAACAACTGCAAAGGGGTTTGACCTCTGTATGCAGGCAGGTCACCCGTCATAGAAATCAGTGTTCGACGTCCATCCATGTCTCAGGACGTTGGGAGATGACGTGGAAACCGGCCACTTGGGGGCAACAGTGAGCGTTGTTAACTTCAAGTAGGCTTTGGTTTTGCAAGAATGTTGTGGACCGGGATGGCGGATGGACGTAAGCATCTGGTTCCAAATGTTGCATGTTCGAATCCAGCGATAGAAAGTTGGTTACCTTAACCATTCTGAGTTAATGCCTAACCTTAAGAATTCGGAGTTAATGCCTAAACTTAAACTTGGAATGATACAGAGAAGTAACCAAACACTTTGAAATTTGACGTTTGGAACAACTTCGAAATTTGACGTTTGAGAAACATGGATGAACGTCTAATTCTTACACGAGACTGTGAGAGGTTGTTGCTGTATGGCCCTAGCTGACCTCTCCTTAGAACACAACCTTATGCGATTGACCTCTGTTTTTGCTATGGTAACCCGTGTGACCTCTGACATCTGTGTCTGTCCTGCAGATGAGAAGGCCATGGTTAAGATGCGGGACCTGCAGGTAAAGCTGGAGGACTTTGACAGGGTGAAGATGATCGGCAGAGGAGCCTACGGAGAGGTGCAACTGGTGAGAAACGTCCTCCGTGTGTGCACGCGGCAAAGATACAATGACATAGAAACAGATTAAAAACATTTACATTCCTACATGTATGTGTGAGTGCTTGTGTGTGTCTACCTCTCCAAGGTGACTGCCTATGTCTGTACATCTAGCTGTGTGCATCTGGTTTTCCTCTGTTTTGCTGCTTCTGTGTGCCTTGTAATCGAGACATGTTTAGACAGGTCCGGAGTGTGTGTGTGTGTGTGTGTGTGTGAGAGAGATTCATTCTGTGTTTGTGTTTGAAGTGTTGTGTGAAGAGGAGTGGGCTTGGTGATCTGTGTGTGGTAAATCACACTTATGTGCGTACATGTCCTTTTTTTATTTTTTTATTTCACCTTTATTTAACCAGGTAAGCCAGTTGAGAACAGGTTCTCATTTACAACTGCGACCTGGCCAAGATAAAGCAAAGCAGTGCAATAAATACCCTTCTGTGGGTATGTGTCTTTTTTTTCTGTGTTATGTTGTTTGCAGGACGTTATGTTATCAAGGGTCTTCAATGGCATTATCTGCAACTTTTTGTCATGGTCAAAGTGACATTGTGTCATTCCACCAATTACAGTGCCTTCAGAAAGTATTCATACCCCTTGACTTATTCCACATTTTGTTGTGTTACAGCCTGAATTAAAAATGGATTAAATATATATTTTTCTCACCTATCTACACACAATACCCCATAATGACATAGTGAAAACATGTTTTTAGACATTTTTGCAAATTTGATGAAAATTAAATACAGAAATATCTCATTTACATAAGTATTCACACCCCTGAGTCAATACATGTTAGAATCACCTTTGGAAGCGATTACAGCTGTGAGTCTTTCTGGGTAAGTCTCTAAGAGCTTTGCACACCTGGATTGTACAATATTTGCCCATTATTCTTTTCAAAATTCTTCAAGCTCTGTCAAATTGGTTGTTGATCATTGCTAGACAACCATTTCAAGTCTTGCCATAAATTTTCAAGCAGATTTAAGTCAAAACTGTAACTGGGCCAGTCTTGGTAAGCAACTCCAGTGTAGGCCTTGTGTTTTAGGTTATTGTCCTGCTGAAAGGTGAATTCATCTTCCAGTGTCTGGTGGAAAGCAGACTGAACCAGGTTTTCCTTTAGGATTTTGCCTGTGCTTAGCCCCAGTTAGGTACTTCATTGTAACCCAGAAATTATTTGATATCAGTGGTGGCCGTCCATTAGGACGTTAAGGGTGGTGCACCACTTGTGATTGGTATAAAAAAATATATATATACAGTGGGGAGAACAAGTATTTGATACACTGCCGATTTTGCAGGTTTTCCTACTTACAAAGCATGTAGAGGTCTGTAATTTTTATCATAGGTACACTTCAACTGTGAGAGACGGAATCTAAAACAAAAATCCAGAAAATCACATTGTATGATTTTTAAATAATTAATTAGCATTTTATTGCATGACATAAGTATTTGATCACCTACCAACCAGTAAGAATTCCGGCTCTCACAGAGCTGTTAGTTTTTCTTTAAGAAGCCCTCCTGTTCTCCACTCATAACTTGTATTAACTGCACCTGTTTGAACTCATTACCTGTATAAAATACACCTGTCCACACACTCAAACAGACTCCAACCTCTCCACAATGGCCAAGACTAGAAAGCTGTGTAAGGACATCAGGGATAAAATTGTAGACCTGCATAAGGCTGGGATGGGCTACAGGACAATAGGCAAGCAGCTTGGTGAGAAGGCAACAACTGTTGGCGCAATTATTAGAAAATGGAAGAAGTTCAAGATGACGGTCAATCACCCTCGGTCTGGGGATCCATGCAAGATCTCACCTCATGGGGCATCAATGATCATGAGGAAGGTGAGGGATCAGCCCAGAACTACACAGCAGGACCTGGTCAATGACCTGAAGAGAGCTGGGACCACAGTCTCAAAGAAAACCATTAGTAACACACTATGCCGTCATGGATTAAAATCCTGCAGCGCACGCAAGGTCCCCCTGCTCAAGCCAGCGCATGTCCAGGCCCGTCTGAAGTTTGCCAATGACCATCTGGATGATCCAGAGGAGGAAAGGGAGAAGGTAATGTGGTCTGATGAGACAAAAATAGAGATTTTGGTCTAAACTCCACTCGCCGTGTTTGGAGGAAGAAGAAGGATGAGTACAACCCCAAGAACACCATCCCAACCGTGAAGCATGGAGGTGGAAACATCATTCTTTGGGGATGCTTTTCTGCAAAGGGGACAGGACGACTGCACCGTATTGAGGGGAGGATGGATGGGGCCATGTATTGCGAGATCTTGGCCAACAACCTCCTTCCCTCAGTAAGAGCATTGAAGATGGGTCGTGGCTGGGTCTTCCAGCATGACAACGACCCGAAACACACAGCCAGGGCAACTAAGGAGTGGCTCCGTAAGAAGCATCTCAAGGTCCTGGAGTGGTCTAGCCAGTCTCCAGACCTGAACCCAATAGAAAATCTTTGGAGGGAGCTGAAAGTCCGTATTGCCCAGCGACAGCCCTGAAACCTGAAGGATCTGGAGAAGTTCTGTATGGAGGAGTGGGCCAAAATCCCTGCTGCAGTGTGTGCAAACCTGGTCAAGACCTACAGGAAACGTATGATCTCTGTAATTGCAAACAAAGGTTTCTGTACCAAATATTAAGTTCTGCTTTTCTGATGTATCAAATACTTATGTCATGCAATAAATTGCAAATTAATTACTTAAAAATCATACAATGTGATTTTCTGGATTTTTGTTTTAGATTCCGTCTCTCACAGTTGAAGTGTACCTATGATAAAAATTACAGACCTCTACATGCTTTGTAAGTAGGAAAACCTGCAAAATCGGCAGTGTATCAAATACTTGTTCTCCCCACTGTATTTGATACACTGTATTTGATACACTGCCGATTTTGCAGGTTTTCCTACTTACAAAGCATGTAGAGGTCTGTAATTTTTATCATAGGTACACTTTCACTGTGAGAGACGGAATCCAGAAAATCACATTGTATGATTTTTAAGTAATTCATTTGCATTTTATTGCATGACATAAGTATTTGATACATCAGAAAAGCAGAACTTAATATTTGGTACAGAAAATTTGATTGCAATTACAGAGATCATACGTTTCCTGTAGGTCTTGACCAGGTTTGCACACACTGCAGCAGGGATTTTGGCCCACTCCATACAGACCTTCTCCAGATCCTTCAGGTTTCGGGGCTGTCGCTGGGCAATACGGACTTTCAGCTCCCTCCAATGATTTTCTATTGGGTTCAGGTCTGGAGACTGGCTAGGCCACTCCAGGACCTTGAGATGCTTCTTACGGAGCCACTCCTTAGTTGCCCTGGCTGTGTGTTTCGGGTCGTTGTCATGCTGGAAGACCCAGCCACGACCCATCTTAAATGCTCTTACTGAGGGAAGGAGGTTGTTGGCCAAGATCTCGCGATACATGCCCCATCCATCCTCCCCTCAATACGGTGCAATCGTCCTGTCCCCTTTGCAGAAAAGCATCCCCAAAGAATGATGTTTCCACCTCCATGCTTCACGGTTGGGATGGTGTTCTTGTGGTTGTACTCATCCTTCTTCTTCCTCCAAACACGGCGAGAGGAAAATCTATATTTTTGTCTTATCAGACCACATGACCTTCTCCCATTCCTCCTCTGGATAATCCAGATGGTTATTGGCAAACTTCAGACGGGCCTGGACATGCGCTGGCTTGAGCAGGGGGACCTTGCGTGCGCTGCAGGATTTTAATCCATGACGGCGTAGTGTGTTACTAATGGTTTTCTTTGAGACTGTGGTCCCAGCTCTCTTCAGGTCATTGACCAGGTCCTGCCGTGTAGTTCTGGGCTGATCCCTCACCTTCCTCATGATCATTGATGCCCCACAAGGTGAGATCTTGCATGGAGCCCCAGACCGAGGGTGATTGACCGTCATCTTGAACTTCTTCCATTTTCTAATAATTGCGCCAACAGTTGTTGCCTTCTCACCAAGCTGCTTGCCTATTGTCCTGTAGCCCATCCCAGCCTTGTGCAGGTCTACAATTGTATCCCTGATGTCCTTACACAGCTCTCTGGTCTTGGCCATTGTGGAGAGGTTGGAGGCTGTTTGATTGAGTGTGTGGACAGGTGCAGTTAATACAGGTAATGAGTGGAGAACAGGAGGGCTTCTTAAAGAAAAACTAACAGGTCTGTGAGAGCCGGAATTCTTACTGGTTGGTAGGTGATCAAATACTTATGTCATGCAATAAAATGCTAATTAATTACTTAAAAATCATACATTGTGATTTTTGTTTTACATTCCGTCTCTCACAGTTGAAGTGTACCTATGATAAAAATTACAGACCTCTGCATGCTTTGTAAGTAGGAAAACCTGCAAAATTGGCAGTGTATCAAATACTTGTTCTCCCCACTGTATATATTACATCATTCAAGGATTATGTTTAAAATGTCAATAAACGTGTCGTTAATTTGTGTACATTTTACTATTTTCAAAATATATTGTTCAAAACAAGCTGTTCAGTTACATGATGCTCTGCCATCAGCAGCTCCGGGCATTCGGCCTGCCGCCCAGCGCTTGGATTGCATTGCAAGGGTATTACATTGCTTGCTGTTGGGGGGAACTGCAGTAATGAGTGAAAATCCTCACATGATTTTCACAGTCAGATAATTTGTTTTCACTTGTCACATCTGTGCTTGTTGCATTTTTCCTGTGCTTGTGTCACTGATGCACTCGGGAGCTAGCTGCGCACTGCTCGTTCTAAAAATATAACTTTTGGTAATCAAAACAGTGGCAGCATAGGCAGCAGTGGTGATTCTGTTTTTACATGCAAAAGTTAATAGGTGTTTATGCTGTTCTTCAAATGCACAGATCACTTTATATATATATTCCCAAACAAACAACCGGTAATTTGAAAACTTGGCTAATAATTCTGTCATGCTGCTTTGTTGACAATATGTCAGACGTAAATAAATTACTAATCACATGAAGTAAATTATGATCTTCAGAAAGCAACAAAATAACTAGGGCTTTACAATGATGGTGAAACTTGGGTTAAAATCTTTCTATAACTGACACAGGGTTGATGGAGGGACATGTCAAAATGCTGAATTTTGGCACTTTAGCAAGCCTTTATTAGTCTGATGTATTGATTTCTTCATGTGGTCTATTTAATATAACAGGCTTTTAAAATGCAATATTGGTGCACAATTTCTACTTAAAATATCAAAGGGACGCAAAAGGCACTATTTTCGTGGAATGACCCCATTGCATTGGATCTTGTATCTATTGGTGACTTTTATGTTAAACATGTGTTTCATGTTGCCTTCTTGTGGAAGGTGTTCCTCGTAAAAAAGAGATCCTGGATCTCAGTAGCGTCTACTTGTATAAATAAATGATGTGTGTGTTTGTGTGAGCTCAAGCGCCTATGCTTGCACACGTGTGTGTGTGTGTGTGTGTGTCATATACCTCATCATATAACTTGGCCCCTCCTCCAGGTCCGTCACAAGGCATCTCAGAAGGTGTATGCCATGAAACAGCTGAGCAAGTTTGAGATGATCAAGCGCTCCGACTCTGCCTTCTTCTGGGAGGAGAGAGACATCATGGCCTTCTCCAACAGCCCCTGGGTCGTCCAGGTGAGAGGGAGACAGTCACACACACACACAAACGCACGCATGCACACATACGCATACATGCGCGCACCTACACACGTACAGTACACACACACAGACATACAGTCATCTCCAAAATTATTGGCACCCTTGATAAAGATGAGGAGAAAATACATAATACAAATACCGAGCTATATTGTATGCACATCTTTTCTTCTTTATACTAATACAATTGCTCAGAGAAAGAGATTTTGTTTAACAAGTTAAGAAATATATATCTTAAAAAGATTATCAAAATTATTGGCACCCCTAAAGATTCTTATAAATACATTTTTCATTAACACTTTACACTCAGCCACTGTCCTCCCATATACGGGTTGAAAATGGCAGATTTGGTCACTGATAAGCGCCTAAATTGGGACTCAGTGGCTGTACAGTAACATACTATATATGATGTCAGAACTCAGGCGTGTCACTTTACAGCTGACTGCGGTTCTAAACGTGTGCACCACGCCGTGCGCAAAAAACAAACAAAAAAAACAACATGTTTATTCATATTGTGAATAACATTTGCAGTGAACACGCACTTGAATGCGCTCATAACTCCATTCTATGCACACCAAAATTACAATCTGTTTGTCTGAAGTGCCTTGTGAAAGCCTAACACTGTAAAATTGTATTTTATAACTGCTAGTCATGTTGGCAATAGAATAAGCTTTGAAATGTTGTCCACCTGACCTAGATTGCGATTTATAATGGAACGTTTTTGGATTGCGTAAACAACAACAGTAATTGTGTGATGTGTGGACGCAGTGTTCCAAACTTCAGTTACTCAACGGCAAAGCTAGGAGACCTAAAAAATGCACCTTATAGTTGACGGCTCTTTCCTTGAGTCATAAAAGTGCATAAAAATTACTTATGAACTGTGCACAGGTGTGTGTCCACTTGGAGACACCAGTTAGACCTCTCACTCAAACCCTTGTAATCATTTTTTCATATATTGTACCATGAATATTCTTATTATATTACTCAATGTATCCAGAGTGAATTGATTTTAATTTGTTTGTATTTTACCCCCTTTTTCTCCCAATTACGATCTCGTCTCATCACTGCAACTGCAAGGTCGAGTTATGCGTCCTCCAAAACACGACCCGCCAAACCACGCTCCTTAACACCCGCCCGCCAGCCACACCAATGTGTCTGAGGAAACAGTTAAACTGACAACCGAACTCAGCCTGCAGGTGCCCGGCCACCACAAGGTGTTGCTAGAGCACGATGAGCCAAGCTGGGTGGGGCAGCGATCCAGGAGAACGGAGGAGGGCAGCTTCAGTGTCACTCTTGTGGCAGAATAGGACATTATACTGCACGCTGTCGTCAGGGTTCTTCCGGGTCTGGAGGCGGCAGGCAGGGTACTCTCGCATCACCCCAGGTAGCGCAAACCCACAATCGGTCAGAGCCCTCTGCTGCACACTGCACCATACACGTCACCTTCCCTGACTACCCCGTAGTTTCCCAGTGTAAGGCGCTGGTCGATTCAGGCACAGCTGGGAACTTTATGGACAGGTCATTAGCTCTAAGTCAGGTATTCCATTGGTTCCCCTAGCCCATCAAAGCACTTGACAGTTGACCATTAGGGTCAGGGTTCGTTAGGGAAGTTACTGCACCGGTCACGAAGGTTACCCAAAGGACCCATAGAGAGCACGTCACATTTTTTATTATTTTGTCCCCTGATTTCCCTGTTGTGTTGGGTCTTCCCTGGTTAGCACTACACAACCCCACCTTTTCATGGCCGCAGAGGGTTCTCACGGGGTGTTCGCGAGAGTGTCAGGGTAGGTGCCTAGCTGTTTCCGTTGGTGCAACCACAGTGGAAAGTCCAGACACTTCCTCCACCGTGCGCATCCCCCCCGAATACCTCGATTTGGCGCACGCGTTTTCCAAAACGCAGGCGACCAAATTACCACCTCATCGGGCGGGGCGGATTGCGCGATAAACCTACGAGTAGATGCTGTGCCTCCCAGGAGGCATGTATATCCCCTGTCGAAGGCTGAAACGGATGCGATGGAGACATACGTCTCCCGAGTCCCTGCGCCAGGGGTTCATACTTCCCTCCACTTCGCCTGCCTCCTCAAGTTTCTTTTTTGTGAAGAAGAAAGACGGAGGTCTGCGCCCGTGCATTGATTACCAAGCATTGAACAAGGGGACAATACGTTATAGTCAACCTCTGCCCCTCATCCCATCTGTGATCGAGTCAATGCATGGGGCGCGCTTTTTCACAAAATTAGATCTCCGGAGTGCGTATAACCTGGTGCGTGTCCGAGAGGGCATTACGAATACCTGGTGATGCCATACGGTTTGATTCATGCTCCATCCATTTTCCAGTCCTTTGTGAACGAGGTGTTTCGGGACATGCTTGGTCACGGTGTAGTGGTCTACATCGATGACATTCTGGTGTATTCCGCTACGCGCGCCGAGCATGTGTCCCTGGTTCGCAAAGTGCTGGGCCGACTGTTGGAAAATGACCTTTATGCCAAGGCAGAGAAGTATTTGTTTTTCCAGCAGGCCGTCTCCTTCCTCGGATACCGCATTACCACTTCAGGTGTGGAGATGGAGGTAGATCACATTTCAGCCGTGCGTAATTGGCCGACCACGGTAAAGGAGGTGAAGCGCTTTATTGGCTTTGCCCACTACTATCAGAGGTTTATCGGGGGCTTTGGCAAGGTCGCAGCTCCCATCACATCTCTGTTGAAGGGTGGGCCGTCCCGGCTCCGCTGGTCTGCTGAGGCTGACAGGGCCTTCAGTAACCTGAGGGTTCTGTTCACCTCAGCCCCGGTACTGGCCCATCCCGATCCATCACTACCCTCACCAGGACAGGTGGGCCCTATTCTTCACCCGGTTTGAGTTTACTCTGTCATACATCCCGGGTACGAAGAATGTGAAGGCAGACGTGCTGTCACGACTGTACGACACAGAGGAGAGGTCCATAGACAACACCCCCATACTCCCGGCCAGCAGCATCGTTCTTGTTTGGAACATCTGTTGACTGCATTTGACGTAACAGAACAGCATGAAAACGTATAGTGAATCTAACAGAGGAAGCAGCCACAAGAGGAGAGAGAGACTATAAACAGAGTAAACTATAAAAACGGACGTTACACGCGGCTGAGTGGCGTTTCACAATATTGCATGCTATATGGATCTCTTGCGATATGGATATTGCACACGTCAATATTGCGATTTCGATGTGAATTCAATTATTTGTGCAGCCCTACTTCCATGGCTTCCTGTTTCACTGGGGTATAAAAATGAGGAAACAAGCATGTAAAATCATTTTGTCATCCATCACCATGGGGAAAGGCAAAGAACTCACAAATGAAAAGAGACAAATGGTTGTTGACTTTCATAAATCAGGCAATGGGTACAAAAATCTACTGAAAAAATAACACTTACCACTATTATGGCAACAAATAAGAGGTTTAAAACCACTGCAATAGTGGTAAACTTGCCTGGTAGAGGACCCAAGTGTATCTTGTCCCAACACACAGTGAGCACGGTTTACATGCACACAATAATGCATTGGAAGAAAAACGATTTCCCTAATCATCCTGTTTACATGGACACATCTGAAATCAGGCTACTGATGGGACTTTGATAAATACTGAAAATCGGCAATCAAAATAAACGTTGTACCACAGTAACCATGTTATTTTTGCAAATATTTATTTGATTCTGAGTTTGGACATAGAAGGTTTGTATGTGAAAACTATTTATAAGATGCATACTTTAAGTTTTTCTGAACTCACTTCACTCACGCATAATAAAGGGAGGCTTGCGCTAACCTGTGTTGGCACGTGTGCAAATCAAATACACCGCTGGAATGTCAATTTAAGCTGTGTACTTGTCCTAATCATTTGAAAGATTACTCAGAAATCCAGGTGTTTTAATTGGCGAATGCTTACTTTGATTATGACCTTACGCCGATTAAGATAAGCAGAGTACGGTGTTTACTAACGCCATACTCTGCCTTCTGCCATAATCAGTTTAATATCTGTAAATATACTCAGTGAGGAAGATGGTTCAGGAGGCAAAGAAAAGTCCAAGGGCCACAGTTGAAGAATACAGAACTTGGTCGCATCTTGGGTCACCAAGTTTCCAAAACCATAATTAGACGCCACCTCCATGCCAATATGCTATTTGGAAGGGTTGCCATAAAGCCTTTATTGAGAGGAACCAACTATTTTAAACGCCTGGAGTTTGCTCAACGGCATTGGCACTTGGAACCGGGTGCTATGGTCAGAGGAGACAAAAATAGAGCTCTTTAGTGGTGGGTTTAGCCTCGAAAAAAGGATGCATATGCAGAAAGAACCTCATACCTACTGTAAAATACGGTGGTGGATATTTTATTTTATGGGGGTGTTTAGCTTCCACTGGTCCTGGGGCCCTTGTTAAGGTCAACGGCATCATGAACTCTACCAAGTACCAGGACATTTTAGCCAAAAGGTTGGTTGCCTCTGCCAGGAGGCTGAAATTTGGCCACGAGTGGATCTTCAAGCAAGATAATAGCCTCAAAATCCACAAAGAAATGTTTAGTTGACCACAGAATTAACATTTTGCAATGGCCATCTCTGTCTCCGGACTTGAACCACATTAAAAACCAATACACATTTTTTTAAATAATTTTTTAGAGGGCATTCCATACGTGCAGACCGAAGGATATCAGGAATCTGTACAAATGTTGTATGGAGTAATGGTCTAAGATCCCACCCCATGTTGTCACGATCGTCTAAGGAGGGAGAGGACCAAGGCGCAGCGTTGAAAGCAAACATATTTATTTTATCAAGATCACACGATCAAAAACAACGAAACGTGACGTCCTTGGTTACAAAAACAAACCAACACGGAACAAGAAACCACAACACAAAGTGAAAAGACCGATAGTTAAATATGGCTCCCAATCAGAGACAACCAGCTGTCACTCGTTGCCTCTGATTGGGAGTCACTCAGCCCAACATAGAAAATCAAACATAGAATACACACCCTGGCTCAACATAACATTGTCCCCAGAACCAGGGCGTGACAGTACCCCCCCCTAAAGGCGCGGAATCCGACCGCGCCAACTAAATCCCACAGGGGAGGGACCGGGTGGGCACTCCGCCTTGGCGGCGGATCCGGCTCCGGGCCTGATCCCCACTCCCTCTCCAACCCCCCAAAGTACCCCTGGTCCGGTCTGGCCCCGCTGGCCGGAGCCGGACTGACGATACGCACCCCTGGCTTGGTGCGTGGAGCAGGAATGGACCGGACTGGGCTGGCGACGCGCACCACAGACTTGGTGCGGAGAGCAGGAACGGGCCGGACAGGGCTGACGAAACGCACCACAGACTTGGTGCGGAGAGCAGGCACGGGCCGTGCCGGACTGATGACGCACACCACTGGCTTGGTGCGGGGAGCTTGGATGGGCCGGACTGGGCTGGCGACGCACCCCGTAGGCTTGGTGCTAGGGGCTGGAACAGGCCGGACCGTACTGGGGACACACACCACTGGCTCTACCTCGGGATCTGGAACGGGCCGGACCGGACTGGTAACACACCCCAGTACCTCTCGCCGTGCCTCTACATCCTCCATCCCCTCTTCGACCAGTGGCCCCCGTAACCTGGCGGCCTCCTCTGGCAACCCGCTGGGCCGCTCTATCGCGGCCTCCTGCTGGTCCGACGTCGTGAGCCCCCCCTTAAAAAATTTCTGGGGGTCTCTCCTCCCCGTGGGCCAGGCCTCCATCGTTCTCGCCAGACTCTCACCCCACTGCTCCAAAGTCCAACCTCTCTCCTCTTCTCTTGGCTTGGCCCAGTCGAGACTCCTACTCAACTGCTCCCAAGTCCATCCTCTCTCTTCTTCATGCTGCTTGGTCCTGTTATGGTGGTTTCTTCTGTCACGATCGTCTAAGGAGGGAGAGGACCAAGGCGCAGCGTTGAAAGCAAACGTATTTATTTTATCAAGATCACACGATCAAAAACAACGAAACGTGACGTCCTTGGTTACAAAAACAAACCAACACGGAACAAGAAACCACAACACAAAGTGAAAAGACCGATAGTTAAATATGGCTCCCAATCAGAGACAACCAGCTGTCACTCGTTGCCTCTGATTGGGAGTCACTCAGCCCAACATAGAAAATCAAACATAGAATACACACCCTGGCTCAACATAACATTGTCCCCAGAACCAGGGCGTGACACATGTGTTCTTCAATCTAATAAAACATTATAGAAAAGGCTGAGTACCTTTATCCTCAAAAGGGCAGGGTGCACAAAGTATTAAAAACAAGGGTGCAAATCATTTTGAGACCTATCATTTTGCGTATTTTTTTATATATATCTTTTATTATAATTTTTTAATAATTTTTTTCTCTGAGCAATGGTATTAGTATAAAATTATATAATTCCCCAAAAACTTTGCTCAGTATTTCTATTTATTTTATACAATCTTTTTTACAGGATACACACACAAACTTCTACGGTATATGTATACACACACACACACACACACACACACAAACACTCCTCTCACTTACTGTGAATCAATCATTGTTGTGATATACTATCCTATCCGCATGTTTTTCAGCTGTGCTGTGCTTTCCAAGATGACCACCACCTCTACATGGTCATGGAGTATATGCCCGGTGGAGACCTGGTCACCTTGACCATGAACTATGACATGCCAGAGAAGTGGGCCCGCTTCTACACTGCCGAGGTGGTGCTGGCTCTAGATGCCATCCACTCTATGGGTTTCATCCACCGCGACGTGAAACCAGACAACATACTGCTGGACCAAAATGGCCACCTCAAGCTGGCTGACTTTGGCACCTGCATGAAGATGGACTTGGTGAGTTTTGGTGGTGGAGATTGGAAAATAAAACAAAAATGTGCACCCTCTTTGGCTCCCCAGGACAAGGATTGGGAAATACTGGTCTAGGGCCTAGATTGGGCATTAAGGGTTTGCTGAGTGAGACTCCATCCTAACCTGTAAATTGAGTTGTTATGGTAATTCTCTCTGAAATGCCAAACTCAAGCCCTAAACCAGCATTTTTTCTGCTTTCGTCTATTGAGCTAAAATTGAGATTATTTTCAAGTCAATGAACTGTGTCTGGCTGAAATCTGCATTTGAGAGAATTTCACTGCTCCAGTTGAACACCCTGTGGTTGTCACGATCGAAGGAGGAGGACCAACGCGCAGCGTTATTTGCAAACATACTTATTTATTAATTAACACGAACAAAACAACAAACGATAACGTGACGTCCTTGGTTAACAAACATAAACCAACACGGAACAAGATCCCACAACCACTGTGGGAAAACAGGCTGTCTAAATATGGTTCCCAATCAGAGACAACCAGCAACAGCTGACCCTCATTGCCTCTGATTGAGAACCATTCTGGCCAACATAGAAACACAACTGACTAGAATGAGAACATAGAACAAAACACATAGACTCTACACACCCTGGCTCAACATATTAGAGTCCCCAGAGCCAGGGTGTGACAGTGGTCAGATTTTGAATTGTGCAGTGTTAACTTCCCCAGAGAAATTGCATCAGATTTAGTTGCTGAATCATATCTTATAAGCACAGGTAAAGTGTGGTAAAAAGCTGTTTGACAAAATGTATGGGCCAGTTTCCCAGACACTGATTTAGGCCTAGTCCTGGACTAAAAAGCATGCTAAATGGAGAATCACCAAAGGTGCTTTATAGTCCCGGACTAGGCTTAACACTAGAACCACTGGGCATCGAGGAACCCCCCTTCAAGCTAATGAGCAGTCATTCTGACTGCAACATTCTAACAGTGTAATTAATACATTTAATATATGCTATTGCAAAAATAATCATTTGGTTGTGTTTATGAAGGTCTTAAGTAACATTAAAAAACATTTATAAAATGTATTTCAAATAACACAATAGTATTTTCATTAGTTTATGTTACTGTAGGCTATATGTAAAAACTGAAAAACACACAAATTCAAGTGTTCAATCCATTTTATTCGTGGAGTGCCTTTGTTACAACTATGAAACAGAAAGCATATGTTGTAACGTGGTAACGGCTTATTTTGATAATGACCCAAAAATTATAATACCCCAACCACGAAAACGCACGGTCAGCAAGTCGCGCGGTCAAATGATGAAAACATCAGTAGCCCAAACATAATTATAAGCGCAAAGTGTGCTTGATAAATAATGAAAGTCTGCACAAAAGCAATAATGGCATTATGAATATGTGTTGATATGACAGCAGTCAAAAATAGTAAATTGTCAGGCCGTCCATGTCACAAGTCACACAAACAATAAAACAGTGCGTTGCTGATGTTGTTTTTTGCTTGAGATGTAGGGTCTGTTCTCTCAGTGATTACATTTTGTGCTGATAATCGGCCTGTAGCATTGTCACCGGTTTGTTCTATCCAAATGGTGCTGTCCTTTCATCTCTCCTGTCTCACTGTTTCATTTGTTGGTGGCTCAGGCAACTGCTCAGTGCGCACCGTTCTGGCTTTTTTGCGCTTAGGCCTTGGAGGGGTAGGTTTCAGGCAGAGGCTCAGAATCAGAAGAATAATCATCATAAATGTCATGATTCATTTCTTCCCCACCATCTGAATCATTTTCATTCAGATTTTTTTAATTACGCACGCTCAATGTGTACTCCAAGTAGGCCAGAGAAAACTGATAAGACTGCTTGGACTGCTGTTCTTTAACAATTGATGATTACATAATCTAGAATCCTTAGTTGCTACATCCATTTCTGGAGTTATAAATTAGAGATTGATTCTTGAAGAATATAATGTATAAATGCCTCATGAGTTTAGTTCAGCTATTATACCTCATCAGAACCCCAAATATAAGCTTGTTTGTAGACAATATGAATGTAAACAAACACTGTATATCCTCAAAACATGGTTAAAACTAGAATTTCTATAGCTCTTTCTATGAACTTGAGAGTGGTTACATTTCTCCAGGCCCATCCCTCAACTTTTTACCTAAAGAGAGGCGGGGTGTCCCTTTGTTATGGTTTCAATTAAGGATTCTATCTGTATTCTGTGTTAGCCACTCCGTCCCAATAGCTTTCACTTAAGGTTACCTGCTTTAACTACGTCTCAGTCTCTATCTCTGTCTGCCTGTCTCCCCACCTGCCTGTCTGCCTCCCCGCCTGCATCTTTGTCCGTCTTGTCTATCTGATTCCAGACAGGCATGGTCCACTGTGACACAGCGGTGGGTACTCCGGACTACATCTCCCCCGAGGTGCTCAAGTCTCAGGGGGGCGACGGCTACTATGGCCGCGAGTGTGACTGGTGGTCCGTGGGGGTCTTCATCTTTGAGATGCTGGTCGGTGAGTGAGTTTGTCTGCCCCAATTCACTGATCCTAAATCAGAATGGGGTTGAGGGTCTGATTTAGGCAGACCATTGGCTTGAAAAAGTTGTCATTTGATTTGGATTGGCGTTAAGCTACAATATCAAACATAGTTTGGTTAACCACGCTTGGGTGATAAGTAACCTTGCCAGAGACCTCAATACTTGGCTTTAGCTCAGCGGGCTAACACAGTCTTGTGGTGTGCACTAGACACAGATTCGAACCCAGTTAGTCACACTACTAATCTATTAGTGTGTATTGAAGCCAGCTTAACCTCCACCTGTAAAGCGTAAAATAAACCCAATCATTGTTATTTAAATTTCACCTCTCTTTTTAGGTGACACCCCATTTTATGCCGAGTCACTAGTAGGAACGTACGGGAAGATCATGGATCACAAGAATAACCTTAACTTCCCAGACGACGTGCAGATGTCCAACGATGCCAAGGACCTCATCTGTGCCTTCCTGTCTGACAGGTATGTGTGTGATCTCTGACCTATGAAACACAACCCCATGACCTCTGTGACCTCTCGGCTCCTTCAAATTGTGACCCCTCACTTTTCACACTTTCCTGTGGAGGCTGTTACTGCCCTTTAAAGGCACAGTGCAAACAAAAGCTAGATGTTCCAGTTTTTTTTATATACTGAACAAAAATATGAACGCAACATGTAAAGTGTTGGTCCCATGAGTTTGGTTTCATGAGCTGAAATAAAAGGTGCCAGAAATGTTCCTACGCACAAAAAGCTTATTTATCTAAAATGTTGTGCACAAATTTGTTTACATCCCTGTTAGTGAGCATTTCTCCTTTTCCAAGATAATCTATCCACCTGACAGATGTGGCATATCAAGAAGCTTTTTAAACAGCATGACCATTACACAGGTGCACCTTGTGCTGGGGACAATAAAAGGCCACTAAAATGTGCGGTTTTGTAACACAATGCCACAAATGTCTCAAGGTTTGAGGGAGCGTGCAATTGGCATGCTGACTACAGGAATGTCCTCCAGAGTTGTTGCCAGAGAATTGAATGTTAATTTCTCTACCATAAGCCGCCTCAAACGTCGTTTTAGCGAATTTGGCAGTACGTCCAACCGGCCACACAACCGCAGACCACGTGTAACCACGCCAGCCCAGGACCTCCACATCCAGCTTCTTCACCTGCGGGATCGTCTGAGACCAGCCACGCTGACAGCTAATGAAACTGTGGGTTTGCACAACCGAATAATTTCTGCACAAACTTGTCAAAAACAGTCTCAGGGAATCTCATCTGCGTACTCGTCGTCCTTACCAGGGTCTTGACATGACTGCAGTTTGGCGGACAACGAACACAATTGCATTTTATCGATGGCAATTTGAATGCACAGACATACCGTGACGAGATCCTGAGGCCCATTGCCATGCCATTCATCTGCCGCCATCACCTCATGTTTCAACATAATAATGCACGACCCCATGTCTCAAGGATCTGTACACAATTCCTGGAAGCTGAAAATGTGCCAGTTCTTCGATGGCCTGCATACTCACCAGACATGTCACCCATTGAATGTTTGGGATGCTCTGGATCGATGTGTACGACAGCGTGTTCCAGTTCCCGCCAATTTCCAGCAACTTCGCACAGCCATTGAAGAGGAGTGTGACAACATTCCACAGGCCACAATCAACAGCCTGATTAACTCTATGCGAAGGTGATGTGTCGTGCTGCATGAGGCCAATGGTGGTCACACCAAATACTGACTCATTTTCTGATCCACGCTCCTACCTTTTCTTTAAGGTATCTGTGACCGACAGATGCATATTTCTTTTACATTTACATTTTAGTCATTTAGCAGACGCTCTTATCCAGAGCGACTTACAGTTAGTGAGTGCATACATTTTTCATATCTGTATTCCCAGTCATGTGCAATCTATAGATTGGGCCTAATGAATGTATTTAAATTGACTGATTTCCTTATATGAACTGTAACTCAGTAAAATCCTAAAAATTGTTTCATGTTGCGTTTGTATTTTTGTTCAGTGTATATATTTACACACTATGAGGTTGGAATAATACTGTGACATTTATGATAATACCCTTTTAGTGTTAGAGCTGATTGAAAAGACTGCCTGTTTTGGTGGGATGGAGTTTTGATGACATCACCAGGCGGTAAATTAGCTAAAGGTAGACAGCATAGTGGGTCAATTTCCGCAACAACTAAGAGCATTGAAGCGTGAGGACCCAGCTCAGCCCAACCAGTCAGCCCCCAGGTGGAGCCCACTTCCTGTTGACATTAGCAGCTCCCTGCCCCCCTGGGGCCTTTCTGCTGCCGCACAACGCCTGCTTTCTACTCCCCTTCCCTCGGTTTATTTTTTCTCTCACTTATTACACTGGCATTCACACACACACTCCCTACACACTGTCTCATGCACTCATTCACCCATTTATTCACGCTCAACACATTATGTTGTTTACTGACTTACTCACCAATTCACTCACTCTCTCATTCATCGATTACTTAATCCGGTCCCTCCCTGTTTTGTTCTCTCTCTCTCTCTCTCTCATGGCTGAGGCTGGAATGTCCCACACGTGGCAGCCCAAACTGCCGCACCCCTCTGTACCCTGCACCCTGTGGCAGATAAGGAGGGAGGAGAGAGAGAGAAAGAGGGGAGGAGTGGAGGAAGGAGGGAGGGAAGTAGAGTTGTGTGTCAGTAATTGCCTCACTACCCTATTTTGCTCCTGTGTGGCTTTATCTATCTCTATATCAGCAACTTACTGGATCTATATTCTCTCAGTATCACTACTCCTACTGGCTGCAGTTAGACTCTGGTTCTACTGAGTGCTGCAGTGGTTATGAGGCGGTCCAGTGGACTGTGGTCAGTGCCTAGCGGGCTTGCGGTCACTCCAACTGTGTGGAGGAAAGTGGTGCTTTGCATTGTGTTCAGGTTGTGGTCGAGTTGCACGTTTGAGTGAGTGACCACTCTCTGACCGCGCCGTCCCATTGGCTATGTACAGGGAGGTGCGTCTGGGGAGGAACGGCGTGGAGGAGATCAAGAGACACCCCTTCTTCAGGAATGACCAGTGGACCTTCGACACCATCCGAGAGAGTAAGTGTGTGTCCCCAGTCATACAGTGTGTGTGTGTTCAGTCATACAGTGTGTGGGCATGCGTGCCCATGTATGCCTGTCTGTGTGTGCCTGTGTATCTGCCTATGTCACCCAACTTCCCATTTTCATGATTTTAAACTACATACCACAGTTCATTCCCATGAATGGGGCCATGAAGCATTAGCCTCCACTTTACTCTCTTTGCTCTATCAGCAAAAATGTAGTAGAGAAGTCACATGGCTATCATCAGCACTGCAGCACAGCAACCCTGCATGATCAGGGGCTGTATGTACTGTATCAAGCGTGTCAAAGAAGGAGTGCTGATCTAGGATCAGGTCTTTCCTGCTGTCCATCTGATCGTATTTATTGTGATCTAAAAGGCTAAACTGATCCTAAAATCAGCACTCTTGCTCTTGATACATACAGTTATCAGAAGGCAGAGCTCAGCTGTGAATGAACTATTATTAATCACTAATTACTAATGGCGCAGTGGTCTAAGGCACTGCATCGCAGTGCTAGATGTGCCAGTAGAGATCCTGGTTCGAATCCAGGCTCTGTCGTAGCCAGCCGCGAAAGGGAGACCCATGGGGTGGCGCACAATTGGCCCAGCGTCGTCCAGGGTAGGGGAGGGAATGGCCGGCAGGGATGTAGCTCAGTTGGTAGAGCATGGCGTTTGCAACGCCAGGGTTGTGGGTTCGATTCCCACGGGGGGCCAGTATGAAAAATTTAAAAATAATGTATGCACTCACTAACTGTAAGTCGCTCTGGATAAGAGCGTCTGCTAAATGACGTAAATGTAAATTATTAGACCATTGCCCTGCGTAAAGATGTACAGACATGAATGCTTTGTCAGTAGTATGTACAGTCGTGGTCCAAAGTTTTGAGAATGACACAAATATTAATTTTCACGAAGTCTGCTGCCTCAGTTTTTATGATGCCAATTTGCATATAATGTTATGAAGAGTGATCAGATGAATTGCAATGAATTGCAAAGTCCCTCTTTGCCATGAAAATGAACTTAATCCCCCAAAAACATTTCCACTGCATTTCAGCCCTGCCACAAAAGGACCAGCTGACATCATGTCAGTGATTCTCTCGTTAACACAGGTGAGAGTGTTGACGAGGACAAGGCTGGAGATCACTCTGTCATGCTGATTGAGTTAGAATAACAGACTGGAAGCTTTAAAAAGGAGGGTGGTGCTTGAAATCATTGTTATTCCGCTGTTAACCGTGGTTACCTGCAAGGAAACACGTGCCGTCATCATTGCTTTGTACAAAAAGGGCTTCACAAGCAATAAAATTGCTGCTAGTAAGATTGCACCTAAATCAACCATTTATCGGATCATCAAGAACTTCAAGGAGAGAGATTCAATTGTTGGGAAGAAGGCTTCAGGGCGCCCAAGAAAGTCCAGCAAGCGCCAGGACCGTCTCCTAAAGTTGATTCAGCTGCGGGATCGAGGCACCACCAGTGCAGAGCTTGCTCAGGAATGGCAGCAGGCAGGTGTGAGTGCATCTTCACGCACAGTGAGGCGAAGACTTTTGAAGGATGGCCTGGTGTCAAGAAGGGCAGCGAGGAAGCCACATCTCTCCAGGAAAAACATCAGGGACAGACTGATATTCTGCAAAAGGTACAGGGATTGGACTGCTGAGGACTGGGGTAAAGTCATTTTCTCTGATGAATCCCCTTTCCGATTGTTGGGGCATCCAGAAAAAAGCTTGTCCGGAGAAGGCAAGGTGAGCGCTACCATCAGTCCTGTGTCATGCCAACAGTAAAGCATCCTGAGACCATTCATGTGTGGGGTTGCTTCTCAGCCAAGGGAGTGGGCTCACTCACAATTTTGCCTAAGAACACAGCCATGAATAATGAATGGTACCAAAACATCATCCGAGAGCAACTTCTCCCAACCATCCAAGAACAGTTTGGTGACGAACAATGCCTTTCCAGCATGATGGAGCACCTTGCCATAAGGCAAAAGTGATAACTAAGTGGCTAGGGGAACAAAACATCAATATTTTGGGTCCATGGCCAGGAAACTCCCCAGACCTTAATCCCATTGAGAACTTGTGGTCAATCCTTAAGAGGCGGGTGGACAAACAAAACCCCACAAATTCTGACAAACTCCAAGCGTTGATTATGCAAGAATGGGCTGCCATCAGTCAGGATGTGGCCCAGAAGTTAATTGATAGCATGCCAGGGCGGATTGCAGAGGTCTTGAAAAAGAAGGGTCAACACTGCAAATATTGACTTTTTGCATAAACTGAATGTAATTGTCAACAAAAGCGTTTGACACTTACGGAATGCTTGTAATTATACTTCAGTATACCATTGTAACATCTGACAAAAATATCTAAAAACACTGAAGCAGCAAACTTTGAAGACCAATACTTGTGTCATTCTCAAAACTTTTGACCACGACTGTACTTGTTTGCCATTTTATTCGGAGATACAAGGAGGGATCGAATAACATGGGCTCCTCCATCCTTCCATCCTCACTGATTTTGATATAATGTGACAGGAATCTACTGAAAGTACTTTGGTGGGATCACGTGCACACACACAAATGGTGGAAACGCTGCTTGCAGTTATCCACTGCTGCCAGATCAGTAAAGTCACCAGGGGAATGAGGAAGGAAGGAGTTTCACCTGGCTCTGATTAAGGCAGAGACGTACTGTAACTCCTGCCAAGGCAGTCTGTAACACTAAACCAGAAGGAGTCATTACTGCACTACTGAACCCCACTGTGTGTGTATGCGCCTGTGCATGAGTGTGTTCTTCCTCCTTACCGAACCCCACTGTGTGTCTCATCCTTTGCGAACTCTAGTATGTGTGCATTTGAACCCAACTGTGTACGTGTCTCATCCTTAGATCTCCATTCAACCCATCGTTGCAACATCCATAGCACATATCACAGTCATCAGTTCTCCTATTGACCTCCCCACTCTCTAGTTTGTGCTGCGTCCCCATTCTGCACCCTTTTCCAGACGTGTGCACTTGCACATTGTCCATTATGGGTTTAAAAGTGAATGATGGGGTTTAAGAATTGGCTGGGGGGAGTTTCCACAGTTGTCAAATCTATGGGAGAAAGTGTGCAAGTGCACACTTAGGGAGAAGGGTAGAGATTTGGAATGCAGCCTCCCTCTCTCTAGTCTGCTCATTGGCTAGTAGGTTAAAGCATCCCTCTTCCTGACTGTTGCGTGAAATAAAGCCATAAAGCTCTCAGATATGGAAGTCTGGGTCTGCATCCTAAAGGGCACCCCATTCCCTTTTGACCAGGGCCCACATGGTACGCCATGTGATGGCATGATTGAGGGGGAGGTGGAGGAAGGGAAGGGGTGGAGAGGGTGTCGGTAGCCACTCTAGGGGCGGGTTGGATTGGGATAATGAGAGGGGGTGCCCCAGAACCGCTGCACCAGGCCCCAGATCAGATTTGAGGTACGGTCGCTCCCTCCTCTCTCCACTCTCACTGTGGCCACAGCTGCCTGTCATTAGCCTACCCACTATCAGAGCACATGCTGGGAAAGCAGCGCCGTAATTGGCCTCCGCAGAGCTGGAGCGGCATCTCTCTCTGCCTGTCATTAGCCTACCCGCTATCAGAGAGCATGCTGGGAAAGCAGCGCCATAATTGGCCTCCGCAGAGCTGGAGCAGCGTCTCTCTCTCCAGTCTCACCGCACAACTCTCTTTTTTCTTTCTTTCGTTCCCTCTCTTTTATCACTCCCTCTCTGTATCCATTTATCTTTCTTTCCTGTCTTTCATCCGTCCATCTCTTGATCTCTCCCTACTTGAGGGTCTGTCTTAAACCTTGGTTCTCTTTGCCTGGAGCCAGAATAGATCCTGTTGAAGAAAGAGGATTCAACATGGCGGCTTAGTTTCCTGCAGAGCAGGCTTAGTTTTTCAGCTTTTCGCCTCCTGGCCCTTTAATTTATTTCTGTCCGCCTGCTCTGCAGCCGGGGGCCTTTAAAAGTGCAGCAGAGGAAGGGGAGTTAGTTATATCTCTCCTGGAGTGTGTTTAGGCTAAATGTGTGAAAGGCAACAGTGTGTGTTGGGACACAAAGCGGGTACTGTAGGGGGAGAGAGGAGTGGCGGGTCTGGCGTCCGCCCCTCGCCAGCTCGCTCTCTTCTACCTCCTATGCCCAGTTTCGTTTGGTATACTACACTCACACACACTCACACATTCTATACACACTTAGAAAACTATACTGTGAAAATAATCACACACTAATTGAGAATCGGAGGAGCCGACGGTTAGCTCTGTGTTAGTGTCTCTTGATTGACACCAATTTTGAGCTGAGTTGGTTGATTTTAGACATATTTTAATCAGCTACGTCTCCCTCTCCTTTCTCTATCCAAACCCACACTATTTCCACCCATTTTCTGCCCTCTCTCTCTCTCTCTCACACACACACTCTGCTTCTTTATGACTGCATCTCTCTGCTCTCTCTCTCACTCTGCCTCTCTCTCTCTCTGCCCCATCTCCCCCTCTCTGCTTCTCCCGCTTCTTCTCTGCCTTCCTCTCTCTCTTTCTCGTTCAGCCGTGGCCCCAGTAGTGCCAGAGCTGAGCAGTGACATAGACACCAGTCATTTTGACGAGATTGAGGATGACAAAGGCGATGTGGAGACCTTTCCCACACCAAGGGCCTTTGTGGGCAACCAGCTGCCATTCGTGGGCTTCACCTACTTCAAGGAAGACCAGTAAGACTAATTGGTTTCTATCTATTCTAAGAGTTAAGTTTAGTGTCTATACAGTGTCTGTGTACATTCATGTTAGGGTTATATTTAGCTTCAAGTGGGCCAATTATCTAGGAATCTGGATTGGTTTTCTAAATTTAAATTGGAATGAGTCTGCTGTATGTTTTAAGGGGGTTTTCATGTTAGCAAACAGTATTTTTGTAAGGTTCTCTGTACTGTGGGGGGGAGAGTCAAAGATAGAAGGTAGAGAGTTGTGTGTTTTACACATGTAGAACTGTAACACTGTTTTAAGCCAATCGTACATGCCGTGTCTGTTCCTACTTTACACTGCCTGCTTGTTCCAATAGCCCTTTTAGTAAATCGTCTAGGCTAAGGATCATGATCAGTGAATGGGAATTGTAGAGCTGCAGTCTGAGCTCGGTGGGTTCTTGATTGTGCAGGATGTGTTATGGGGCGGGATGCGGGCTTGGGTACTCCGAGGGTGAGGAAGGTTGGCATGGCTGGCAGGGCACCTCAGGTAAAGCCAGTTTAAAGACCTTTCTCCTCCCTCGCTTCTTCTCCTTCTCTAACAGGCTGCTGAGAGGTGGGAATAAAGGGATCTCTGTGGAGGACTCAAAAGACTGTATGGAGATCTCTGAGGAAAAAGAGGACAGCGTCAAAGGAGAGGTAGGTCGTTACATTGTTGCGTACATACATGCATGCATTTGTGGGTTTGTTTGTATGTTTTTAAAACACAGCTGGGAGCAAAAGGGAAGATGTGTGCTCAGAAGGGACAAGACTGACATTTGAGTACAAATTCAATATTGAAATGTTCGGTGCAATGTAGTAGCTCTCAAGACAGACCAATGGAATAGAACACTCAGATTGACCTACTCAGATGGCCCAAATACAACCAAGTTCACTCTAGCCTTTTGGGGGACCGAAGCGAGATTTAGTTGCCCCTCCCTACACTTTTTTCCATGGGGTGGAGAGAAAATGTTTCAATTTCATAACAAATTTAATGCAATTCTATTCATTTGGCCATGCGGCAGAGATTTTTTTGTTTTACAACTAATTTCCTGTAATTCTACCCATTTTGCCATGAGGTGGAGACAATATTTTTCAGTTTTGAAGCTAATTTCCTGAAATTCTACACATTTTGCCATGACTTATGCCATGTTAATGATATCTGAGTGAAGGTGACTAACAAAATCAATGTGGGCCCCCTGGAGGTCAGGGCCCCTGTGCACGTGCCCAGCGGGACCGTTCGGTATTCGGCCATGATTACTACAAGTTTAAATAGCTGGCTAGACTAACTTACCAATCAAAATATTATTAGCTGACATGACTAATTGAGTGACTGTCAGTGACTGACATAACAAGAGAAAAATTCCTGATGCACAACCAAATTTCGAACTTGCACCTTGTGTATTCTACTATTCTAACTCTCAACAGTCCTCTCAACAGGCCTGGGGCCCTCAGCGACCGCTTATGTCGCTTATGCCTGGAGCTGGTCCTGAGTTCACTAAACAGGTGCCTCGCAAACCCAACAAAAAACAAGGCCTACCCTGATTCGAAGATACTCTATGGCAACTTATGAAGAAGCGAGATGCTGCTCCGAAACAGTCTCTAAAATCTGCCCTAGATGTTATGTTTTACATTTTAGTCATTTAGCAGACGCTCTTATCCAGAGCGACTTACAGTAGTCAGTGCATACATTTCATACTTTTTTTTCCTCTTCTCCGTACTGGTCCTCTGTGGGAATCGAATTCACAACCCTGGCGTTGCAAGCGCCATGTTCTACCAACTGAGCCACACGGGACCACATTGACCAACTCATCTATAAAGGACTGAGAAACAAAGTGACAATGAGTCTCAGGAAAGTCAAAGCCAATGTCTTTCTCAATATCATCAATGAAGCAAAAGGGAACATCAAGGTCATTTGGAAAAACATTAACAAACTCACTGGGAAAGGTCATGCCAAGTCTGGTGAACTACAACTGAAAATCAATGGCTTCAGGACAACAGCTCGGTCATTGCAACCACCTTTAATGACTATTTAATTGACTCAGTCCTAGAGCTGGGCCAAAAGTTCACCCCAAGAGACCTGTCCATTATCCCCAGCAATGACAGCCATACCGTTTTTTTATTTATTTAGAGTCCACTAGTAAGGAAACGGTCAAGAGAGTCCTCTCCTCACTCAAACTCTAAAGCAAAGGATGTGTATGGTCTTGATATTGTATTTCTAAAAATATACAGTGACAGCCTAACCACCCCAATTACCCAGATAGTCAAGTTGTCAATGCAAGAAAATGTATTCCCAAAAGCATGGAAGACTGCCATCTTGACCCCTGTACATAAATCTGGAGACCAGCAGGAAGTGAGCAACAACATGCCTATCAGTATACTCCCTGTCATCTCTAAGGTTGCTGAAAAAGTTGTAGGAACAGCTCACAGCACACCTGAATACAGGGTATGTCCCTCTTCACCCCATGCAGCTTGGGTTTAGGGTGAACCACTCAGGGGCAGCATGTTGTTACCGTCAACCATAAAGTCCTTCTCTCAAAATCTCCAGTTTCAACCTCTCCCAAAATGTTTTTGACTGTGGTTCAGCCTATATATCAATGATCTTCCTTCTGTATGCCAGAGAGTGGAGATCCAAATGTACGCTGACGACACATCATCTACATCCATGGAAAGAGTGCTGAGCAAGTGGCTGCAGAGTTAACGTCAGTTATGGAAAATGTTTCACAATGGCTCAACGACTCCTGTCTCACCCTAAATGTGGGGAAAACAGTGGCCATGTATTTCTCCATCAATCAAAAGCAGCAGGTCTACCCCGACATCCTTATATATGACCAAAAGATCAAAACTGTCTCAGAATTCAATACCTCGGCATAATCCTTGAGCCCACCCTCAACTTAAAAAAACATATTAAAAAATGACCAACACAATCAAATACAGCCTCGCCAATTTCCGGTTAATCAGAAACTCTCTCCATCAAGGCTTCCAGAATATTTTTATATGCTTTGGTTTTCTCCCCATCTCTCCTACTTCATCACCAGCTGGTCACAAGCATGTGAGACATCCCTGAAACCTCTCAAATCACTCTACAAAGAAGCACTGGAAATGTTGGACAAAATAACACGTTACTACTACCACTGCAATATAAACACCAAGTTCAACCTGTTTAGTTTTTACAACTTCATTCTGTTCTCAGATATCTGCCTTGTTTACAAGATAACTCACAATCTAGCACCTCCACCCCTGAGGTTCTTTGTAAATCTCTGCTACGATCAAAATAGCAGGGTAACAAGAACCTCCACCAGCGGGGACTGAAGCATCCCCAAACGGTCCACCACCTTTGCACAATCGGCCTTCTCATTCAGAGCAGCTAAGAAATGGAATGGCCTCCCCTCTGCTCTGAAAACATGTGGCAGCGTCCAAGCCTTCTCAACTGAGATTATCCAATCAGTCATGCACAACTTAAAACGCCATACTGACGTTTAATGCAACAGAAGACACATTAGTAAATATACAGGTTTAATTTCAATATGTGCAATAACTGGGCTATGTACAATATTTCCTTTTTATTAATAGGTATATTACCATTATTTATCCGATAGCAATGTGTTTCTATGTGTAATGTTTTGATGTCCTGATCTCTGTGGGTTTTGTTTACTGTATGATGTATGTTTTTGTATATTATTTTTCCATGTCTAGATGATCACCTATGTCTAGATGTTTTAGGGACTACAGATAGAAATTAGCTATTAGCAAAATCTGGTGCGACATGTTTTCTCAGTGCTCTGAGACTTATTTCTTTGGTGTACATTGTCCCTGCCAAATAAAAGTAATATATTTTTTTAAAATAAGAAATATAACTCAGATAAACAAAATATAACTTTCAGACAGAAGAAATAGAACTGTCATACAAAATAGAACACTCAGAAAGAAGAAATGGAACTCAGACAGACTAAATGGAACTCCTACAGATAGACAAAATAGAACTCTCAGGCAGACAGACAAACAAGAACTCTCAGGGCACTATGTTAACAAACTTAAAGCAATGGTAAATATTAGCGCTGGCGGTAGTACTATAGGTCCAGGGGTGTGTCAGAAATATTTTCACTATTTTCATTGCGGGAATTATGGCCGCAGTTGCTGGTGGTGGCGCGAAAGGGCTAGGTTTTGATGAATAAATAAATTGGAGGCTTGACCCCTCACTGGCCGATCAGAACATGTTCCATGACTAAATATGTGGTTTCTCCAAGTCTCCTGAGTGGCGCAGTGGTCTAAGGCACTGCATCGCAGTGCTAACTGTGCCACTAGAGATCCTGGTTCGAATCCAGGCTCTGTCGCAGCCGGCCGCGACCGGGAGACTCATGGGCGGCGCACAATTGGCCCAGCGTCGTCCAGGGTAGGGGAGGGAATGGCCGGCAGGGATGTAGCTCAGTTGATAGAGCATGGCGTTTGCAACGCCAGGGTTGTGGGTTCGATTCCCACGGGGGCCAGTATAAAAAATAATAATATGTATTCACTAACTGTAAGTCGCTCTGGATAAGAGCGTCTGCTAAATGACTAAAATGTAAATGTGTATTTACAGTCTTATGTATTGCGTTGTCATCAACTCCAATTGTAATGTTAGTCCATTACAGCCTAGTTTGTTAAATAGTCTACAGCAGGGATGGGAAACATTGATGGGGGTGGGGGCCACAAAAAATCTGAACCCATTATGAGGGGCCGCAGTAACCTAAGCAACATTTTGTTCCCAAATGTAATGTTTTATAAACATAATGGAACCATCTTACAGATCGCATTCACACTTCTCCAAAATAGGAGACTGTAAGGGTTGGTGTGAGGTGTGACCCAGGTGCGGTGCAGGATAGACAGTAGGCAGAGATGGTGAAACAAGGATATTTACTGGTGGTCCAAAAGCCAGGATAAGACAAATGAGGAGCACATAGGTCTCCAAAAAACAGGCTGACAACAAACAATACGAAATACTAACTCTGACTGGAAAAATACAATGACACAGGGAGAACACTTCTCGAGTACCTGTAACTCCGTCATGTGATCCGACACTGATACGTACTGCTTGACATCAAGGAACCAGCAGAGAAAACTGACCAAGGGAACACAGGGATGTGAGGCCATAAATACACAGGTGAATCAGATAGCCACAGGTGACAACAATAAGCAGATAATTGGTCCCGACTGTGAGTGAGGAGGTGCCTATGGTTGTCGGAGGTTGACACCTGGTGGGTTGCTCCGGAACTGCGACCCACTCCTGTAACAGGAGACGGCTCCTAAATTCAATTGCATGTGAGCTAGACATTTTCATAAAGCCAGAACAGTGAATAATTCTAACAAGTTGTAAAAAAAAAAAGAAGAAGAAAAAAAGAAAAACAAGCAATTTTTTTTTTTTTAACAACAACAGTGTTTCTAAATAGCTTGGGGTCAGAAGCATGATGTCATAACATTGACGGGATAAAAAAGACGCAAAGGATTGCTGTTGAACCCGTCTTCGTTATAGCCTATAGGCCTAGGGTAAGGGTAGCCTACAGAGGGCTTGGTTTTTTATCATATGAAACGGAAAAGCAATTGTTATAGGAAAATAAGTTCTAAACAAGGGTCACCTGCATCATTTACATTTACGTCATTTAGCAGACGCTCTTATCCAGAGCGACTTACAGTTAGTGAATACATATTTTTTTTTATCCTGGCCCCCCATGGGAATCGAACCCGCAACCCTGGCGTTGCAAATGCCATGCTCTATCAACTGCTCTACATCCCTGCCGGCCATTCCCTCCCCTACCCTGGACGACGCTGGGCCAATTGTGCGACGCCCATGAGTCTCCCGGTCGCGGCCGGCTGCGACAGAGCCTGGATTCAAACCAGGATCTCTAGTGGCACAGTTAGCACTGCGATGCAGTGCCTTAGACCACTGCGCCACTCAGTCTCATCTTTCCGTTTCATGATGGGCATATGAACACAGGTAGCCTACGTGGAAGGGTTTTTACACACGTCCAAAACAGGAGCTGGCTAAAATAATGTAGGCCTTCACAATACAAAGAACAAAAGGGGATGTTCGCTAACTATTTTGCTGCTCCCAAACTTGATCTTTTAATAAAGCTTTGGTGATTCAAGATTTATTTCAAAGCAGTCTCACGAGTCAAATACTTTATTGATAGACTTGGTGAACGCATTGGGCAAGACAATAAAACAGCCTTCATCAAGGGGAAGCTATTTGCTTGGTTTTTAATTAAATGAAAACATTTGGTTTTTAAGTTTATTAATACGAGTGTTACCGGCACAAAAAGCACATCTCCTCTCTTGTTCCATGAGCATAAGGGCATTGTGGATCACAGCTGGATAGGTTGCACTTCCGCTAATAAAATCCATGCCGTTACCAACCGCGTTACCGCTAAGACCTTATTTTCATTGGTCTTAAATCTGCCGATATGTGCTGCATGAAATTGTCACTTTTTGTCAGAAAGACAGACACAATAGAACTATCTGACAGACAAACTAGAACTCTCAGAAAATATAAAACTCTCATACAGACAAAATATAATTCTGTCTGACAGACATATTGATATCTGAGTGTGCATCTGGTGAGCTTGTTATCTCTCCCTCCCTCTCCTCTTTAGTCAGATCAGCTACAAAAGAAGCTCCATTGTCTGGAGGAGCAGCTCAACCATGAGATGCAGGCCAAAGACGACCTGGAGCACAAGTGCAAGTACGGCTCACCTCAGAACACACACACACACAGGCACACACACCACACACACATTCACACATGCTCCTCTCTCCCCAGGACTACCACTTGTCGTCTAGAGAAGCTGGTCAAAGAACTCGACGAGGAGGTGAGACCAGCAATGTACAATAGAGTTAATGGTCAGTAATGTTTTGACTATGCACATCACACACTTCCCTGTCCCTGTAGATGAGCAGCAGGCAGAGAGTGGAGTCTTCTCTGAGGCAGCTGGAGAGAGAGAGGGCCCTGCTGCAGCACCAGAGTGCTGAGAACCTCCGCAGGGTGGAGATGGAGGCAGACAGGAAACGCATCCTGGAGAACGAGTGTAAGCTAAGCCCAGTATACTGATTATAATGAGTTTGTAGTGAGCTTATAATGCATTGTAAGACTTGTCATAAGCATGTATGACCAGCTCATATTTTATTATCACTTTACAGTGATCCTGACTATTACTTGCATTTGTGTAATTTTAACATTCCTTCACAGATACAATAACAAGGGCTTGTGCATGCTTATAACAAATCAAGCATTATACCTATTGGCTTTAAGGCCAGGCACCTCATTAAATATGCACATATTTGCATATCATGCAAATCAATTTTTATGGACACTGGATGTTGTCAGCCTAAATATTTTGATTTCATTTTGTTTAGACACTCCAGGACCAGACTTATTCAGAAGAGATTATGGATAAATATTTTTTTCATATTTCTATCTGTGAAAGTCTAAAGGCATTTTTGGCAAATTCTTTTAAGAAAATGTTAGCTAGAATAAAAATTTGCCAACATATTATGAACAATTCCCTCTGAGTAAGTCTGGAGAATATATCTAAGGATAACTACACAAACTGTGGTGTATGTAGATTCGTCAGAAGCTGAGAAAAATGTGTTGGCGTGTGGGAAGAGTCTGACTTTAGAGAATTCGCAGTTAAAGACAAGTACAATGAATTTAGTCTACCAATCGCCAAATGCCTATTTTGACCCAATCACCATCTCTTCATAGTAAGTTACTTTATAGTCCCGTTTCTAACATTCTCTATGAAATGGGCTTAACAATGATGGGTGATTCAGTGTTAAGCCCCAAAAAAAATGCTAAATTGGTTAGTAGATGCAAAACTTTAATTTTAGCCTGTGGTTCCTGGCTTTAAAGGGATAGTTCACTCAAATTACAAAATTACATATTGGTTTCCTTACCCTGTAAGCAGTCTAGGGAGAAGGTATGACAGCAATCCATGCTTTGGTTTTGTTTTCCTGACCAGTGTTTCAAATGCTAACTTTTTAGCATTTTTGACACAAATCTAATGCAAGTCAGTGGTACCTAAATAGGCATTTTCACGCTTCATGTCCAAATCATCTATAAGTAACTTAATTGAGATACACAATAAAAAAAATTATACTTTAGACCAGGGTTTGGAACCAAAATTATTTTCTAATCGTTTCGTTCTGAACAGAACCCCCCCCCCAAAATTGTTTTGTTCCACTGTTCCGACCAGCAAAATAAAGTTCTGAACCGGTTTGATCCCCCAAAAAGTACCGGTTTATATAGTTCCTTTCTGTTCCTTTTTTAACCTGTGAAATCAACAGTTTTTTACATTTAGCTAATTAAATTACTTCACCAATCAGTGTGGCTAGAGCAGGCAAGCTAGTTGTTTACATGCGTGATGGACAGACAAGTGTGGCCTATGGCGCAAGATGCGACTGAAATTTTGTGGGTGGGGAGAGAGCGAGAGAGGGTTGAGGAGGAGGCTTGAAGTGCTGGGTATCTTGTAATGACATGCATTATATGAATTAGGTCAACAGAATTATACCTAGGAGGAGAGGCTTCTATGGAGGAACTTTGAATGTCCTTTGTGCTAGCTAACAAGCTTGTGTGTACAGAGCGGCACCAGAATTAAAAACACGTCTTACCTTTTTGTAGCTTTTAAATCCAACATGAAGCATGATAACTAGGCCTATAGTATCCTTAACTAGCATTGAAAAAGTGAATCCATTCTTCTCTTGCTAATTAGTAATCTCTCTTCCTATCTTCTGAATCAAGCTTGTAAAGTCAGTACAGTAGCCCAGGGTTTCCCAAACTCGATTTGGTTTTTGCCCTAGCACTACACAGCTGATTAAAATAACCAACTCATCATCAAGCTTTGATTATTTGAATCAGCTGTGTAGTGCTAGGGCAAAACCAAAACGTGCACCCGGGGGGGATTGAGTTTGGGACACCCTGGGCCACTGTACTGACGTTACAAGCTTGATTCAGAAGATAGGGAGAGAGATTTTTTATTAGCAAGCCCCAGGACCGAGTTTGGGAAACCCTGCATTAGCCTAAGCAGGGAGGGGCAGGTAGCCTAAACACCAACAGCCAAGGTTTTCAACTTGCAGGCAGACACTGGAAATGTTGGTGAGTGACAGAATGAGGGCTTTGCATAGGCGCTTTGTTTCTTTTTGTTGTGGGACTAGAAAAAATGCCTGGAACATAAAATAACTTATTAACCGGTTCCCATGCTTTCAAAATAACTCTTCTATTCCAGACAGTATGGATCACTTCGTTCCAGGTTCTGTTTCTGTTTCTTGAAAACAGGTTTTCTGTTCTGTTCCCTGAACCGGTTCCAACCCCTGCTTTAGACAAATGCTAATATAGGTCCCATTGACTTCCATTGGATTTACCATTACCCTGAATCGCATGTCCATCCATTCCCTCACCATGTCTAGTAAACAGCCTGCGGGACCAGCTTGAAGAGCTGAAGAGGAGGAACCAGAACTCTCAGATCTCCAATGAGAAGAACATCCACCTGCAGAGACAGGTGAGGGAGAGCAAGCTTGTATGCATGTATTCCTTTGAATAAGAATGCTTTATTATCTTGTCATTTTCAGATCACATAAATTAGTGTGTTTTGCTTCCTTAACCCAACATCTTGATAAACACACACACACAAACTCCACGAGGGTATGTAAGCTTGGGTGCCTTGCTCAAGGGCACAACGACAGGAGATGGCTTCTAAAATACCTAGAAAATATGATAGCCGACCAGGAATGGACTGACTACTTTCACTTTATTGAGTCTTGCTAACAAAAAACGGAAAAAATTTGCATCACACAAATTGCATAGAAAATAGCATAAGAAAACACTTACTTAGGCACAAAATATGATACAGCTTTTTCTTATTTTTTTCTCGATTGGGAAACTATTGATAAAAATGGATTGTTATAAAGCTTACTTTAAAAACATTTAAGAACTACAGTTATTGTACAGTCGGACAGCAGCGTTAGAGTGGCATTTCTCAGGCGGTTCCTTCTCTCCCTCTATCTCTCTCAGCTGGAGGAGGCGACAGCGGTGCTGGCCGAGGAGCAGGAGGCGGCTGGGCGGCTGCGGAGGAGCCAGGCAGAGGCCCAGAAGCAGGCCCAGGCCCTAGAGCTCAGCCTCAGGGAGCTGGTGGGCAACTGCACCCAGCTGGAAAATGCCAAGATGGGCCTGGAGCAGCAGCTGATGGACCTGCAGGCCGACCTGGAGGCCGAGAGGAGGGACCGCAGCCTAGGGACAGAGATTATACAGGACCTGAAGGGTGAGACTGGGGATGAGGTTGAGGTTGGGGATGGGGCTGGGGCTGGAGCAAGGGTTGTCCGATCGGCAGAGTTTGCACTTTTGGAACTATTCCATTGGTTCCATTGTGACATGAGTGCCAGAGGGGCAGGGTTTTGCACTTTTGGAACCATTCCATTGGTTCTTTTACGCCAGGCAAGTTTAACCAAGCACAACTAGGACCCAGGTCTGCCTGGGAGTATGTCACTCTTATAGGGGGACTGTGTTTTGGACATTGGTCTTTGCGTCCATTCCGGGGAGGCCGCTACATGATATCAGACAGAACAGTTTGGAACAGGCCTATGTCGGCCTTCCGCATCTGCGGTGGTTAGGTTACCAGATCAGGAAAAACTACGGGCCCCAGAATTGTTTTTCCGCCACACCATTCTGGGACCTGTGGTGCCACCTCTGCCTCACAGATATGATACTAATCTCTGCCTCTGTCTCTCTCACTCCCTCCCCTCTCTCTCTCCTTCTCTCCCACTTTCTCTCTCTGCCTCTCTCACTCCCTTTCTCCCTATTTCTGTACCTCTGTCTCTCTTTCTCTACCTTTACTCTCGTCCCTACCTCCCTCTCTCCTTCCTCTCTCTCCCCTTCTCTCCATCTCCCTGTTCTATAATTCCACCTCCCTGTCTCGCTCTATGTCTCAGGGCATATCCAGGGTCTGGAGGAGGAGGTGAAGGAAGTGAAGGGTTCTCTCTCCAATTCACAGATGGAGAAGAAGCAGCTACAGCATAGGCTCACTGACATGGAAAAGGTAAGAGGCCTGGGTCGTGAAAGATTAGGCACCAAATGGAAGAAAACGGACTGAAACAGGGATGACCTACCTCCAGTAGTAAACGTTAATTATTGTTTCTGTTGCAAAATGTGCCATGATGAACACAACCCTGCACTTCACTGGGAAGACTTACTCTACATAACACTCAGGCTCAGTGGGATTGCCCCAAGCCCAAATTGACCCCTAGCCCCTACCCTCTACTTGTGGAGATCTAAGAGGATTGGATAGGTATGAGCAACATTATGAAGATTTTCCTATCAAAAAGCACGATACAGTGCCTTCAGAAAGTATTCACACCTCTTGACTTTTTCCACATTTTGTTGTGTTACAAAGTGGGATTCAAATGTGTATATATATATATTTTTTAAATTAAATGATCTACACAAAATACTCTGTAATGTCCCCAAAATTTTTTTTACAAAGTTAATGGAAAATAAACACATATCTTGTTTAGATAAGTATTCAACCCCCTGTGTCAATACATGTTTGAATCACATTTGGAAATGATTCCAGCTGTGAGTCTTTCTGGGTACAGTGGCTTGTGAAAGTATTCACCCCTCTTGGCATTTTTCCTATTTTGTTGCCTTACAACAGGGGTGTCAAACTCATTCTAGCTCAGGGGCCACATGGAGGAAAATCTATTCCCAAGTGGGCCGGACCGGTAAAATCATGGTATATATATAACTTAAAAACAACAACTTCAGATTGTTTTCTTTGTTTTAATATGATCAACATAAAACATAAAGCTGGAGCCTGAGGACAGTGTGTCCAAAATAGTACAAGCACAACATCACTATTAATCATAAAACACCTCAAGTTTATTTGAAAATTCTAAAGAAAAAGAACACACAATGCCTCAGTGATTAACAGAACTGTTTCACAGATCACTGAACTATATCAGGGTGTCATTTCTCAGGCAGAAATGTAGATAAAAATAATGAAATCCTGTTCCCCAAACAAGTGCAAGAACCACAGAGTCAAGAATAGGTTAAATATACAAATAAAATAAAAACAATTAAAAACAATAGCACATCAACATAAAAACATATAAACATAAAGCTGGAGCCTGAGGACAGTGTGTCCAAAAGCACAACATCACTATTAATCATAAAACACCAAGTTATTTGAAAGTTCTGAGGACAAAGAACACACAAACACACAATGCCTCAGTGATTCACAGAAGTATATCACAGATCACAGAACTATATCAGGGTGTCTCATGCAGCACTTTAAGTGGGGTTGCATAGTTTATTTGACTCCTGATACCTGGCATCTTTTCATCAATATCAGGCGTCACTTCCTCAGTGGCAGCCAACTTCAGGATGTGATTCAAGTGCTTGTGCGTGAGCCTTGAGCGCAGCTTTGTTTTATTTATGCTCATTACAGAGAACTTGCTCACAAAGATATGTGGTTCCAAACATGCACAACAGTTTTGCAGTGAGGGCTGTCAAGTTGGGGTAACCTGGCAAGAGATTCTGATAAAATGTGTCCAAGCCAGCTGCGGCAAATTTGCCCTTCAAATCCGAGTCACACTGCAAGTCTATTATTTCAAGTTGGATGCTGACGGGCAGATCAGAGGGATTCACGGTGAATGGCGAGCAAAAAACGTTGAAGTCTTTCTCCAGTTCACCAAAAATCTGAAAGCGTTGCTCAAACTCCCGTAACAGTCCCGTTATTTTATCTTTGAACCGCTTCATGTCTGCCACATGTTGGGTCGCGCACACATTTTTCAGACAGGGGAAGTGAGCTGCATCACCACCGGCGAGTTGCGTCTCCCACAATGACAGCTTCAACTTGAAAGAACGTATGCTGTCATAATACTGCGTGACAACTTTGTTGCGCCCTTGAAGCTGTTTGTTCAAGTTATTCAGGTGCTCTGTAACATCCACCATAAATGCAAGGTCCTGCATCCATTCTGCGGAATGAAATTCTAACACTCCTTTTCTTCCATGAACTGTTCAATTTCTTCTCGTAAATCAAAGAAACGCCTCAACACAGCACCTCGGCTTAACCATCTTACCTCAGTGTGGTATGGCAGGCCATAGATGTGGTCTTTCTCTCTGAGAAGGCTGTCAAACTGACGGTGATTCAGGCTTCTGGATCGGATGAAATTAACAGTTTGGATGACCACCTTCATGACGTTATCCATCTTTAATGACTTGCAACACAAAGCCTCCTGGTGCAAAATAGTGAAAAGTCAAAAAATCACGTCCTCCATTTGCAGATTGCACTTTCTCTCTGAACTTTGTCACAACGCCTGCTTTTTTCCCGATCATTGAGGGCGCACCATCTGTAGCCAGGCTGACAGTGCGGGACCAGTCCACTCCGACCCTGTCCAGCGCGTCGACGAGTGCGGTGAAAATATCAGCTGCTGTCGTTGTATCTGTCATCGGCACCAACTCCACGAACTCCTCGGTGACGGTCAATGTGTCATCAACTCCGTGGATGAAAATGGCCAGTTGTGCAACATCTGTAATGTCTGTGCTTTCATCAATTGCAACCGAAAACGCAATAAATGACTTTACTTTTTGCTTCAACTGGCTGTCCAAATCCACTGAAAGATCGGAAATCCTGTCTGCAACTATGTTTCTTGTCAGGCTGATATTTACAAAAGCCTGACGCTTTTCAGGGCACACAAACTCCGCTGCCTTCATCATGCATGTTTTTACAAATTCACCCTCACTAAATGGTTTTGAAGCCACTGCGATTTCATTAGCAATGAGTTAGCTAGCTTTCACTGCAGCGTCACTGATGTCTCGGCTGTGAGTAAACACAGACTGCTGTTTCTTCAGACCCGCCAACAGTTCATTCACCTTCTCTCTTCTCCGCTGTCCTTGAAAGTTGTCATATTTGTCGGCATGAAGACTCACATAGTGGCGACGAAGGTTATATTCTTTCAGCACTGCAACATGCTGTGAACACACCAAACATACAGCTTTCCCATTGAATTCCGTGAATAAATAGGAGGATGACCATTTTTCTTGGAACACTCTGCACTCCACTTTTCTCTTTTTTGACAGAGACATATTGGGGCAATGAGGGTGCCAAAGCACATAATGTTAAAAGTAGAAGCCGTAATAAATATCGCGGGCAAAACAAAGTAGCTCATCCGGGCTGGCTGCACGTGCTTGACGTACTTGCTCTGCCCCGGTATAAACAGTTTGCTTGCTTAACACAATTGCTATTGTGCCATCCAGTGGACGCAATTGGAACAGCAGTTTATTTTATTGAAAAATTGCTGCGCATTTTTATACTTTACAAAATCATCTCGCGGGCCGGATTAAACCCGTTTGCGGGCCTGCCTTACAACCTGGAATTGAAATGGATTTTGGGGGGGATTGTATCATTTGATTTACACAACATGCCTACCACTTTGAAGATGCAAAATATTTTTTATTGTGAAACAAACAAGAAATAAGACAAAAAAACTGAAAACTTGAGCGTTCATAACTATTCACCCCCCCCCCCCCCCCCCCCCCCCCCCCAAAGTCAATACTTTGTAGAGCCACCTTTTGTAGCAATTACAGCTGCAAGTCTCTTGGGGTGTCTCTATAAACTTGGCACAACTAGCCACTGGGATTTTTGCCCATTCTTCAAGGCAAAACTGCTCCTGCTCCTTCAAGTTGGATGGGTTCCGCTGGTGTACAGCAATCTTTAAGTCATACCACAGATTCTCAATTGGATTGAGGTCTGGGCTTTGACTAGGCCATTCCAAGACATTTAAATGTTTCCCCTTAAACCCCTCGAGTGTCGCTTTAGCAGTATGCTTAGGGCCATTGTCCTGCTGGGAGGTGAACCTCTGTCCCAGTCTCAAATCTCTGGAAGACTAAAACAGGTTCCCCTCAAGAATTTCCCTGTATTTAGCGCCATCCATCATTCCTTCAATTCTGACCAGTTTCCCAGTCCCTGCCGATGAAAAACATCCCCACAGCATGATGCTCCACCACCATGCTTCACTGTGGGGATGGTGTTCTCGGGGTGATGAGAGGTGTTGGGTTTGCACCAGACAGTGTTTTCCTTGATGGCCAGAAAGCTCAGAGTACCTTCTTCCATAAGTTTGGGAAGTCTCCCACATGCCATTTGGCGAACACCAAACGTGTTTGCTTATTTTTTTCTTTAAGCAATTTCTTTTTTCTGGCCACTCTTCCGTAAAGCCCAGCTCTGTGGAGTGTACGGCTTAAAGTGGTCCTATGGACAGATACTCCAATCTCCGTTGTGGAGCTTTGCAGCTCCTTCAGGGTTATCTTTGGTCTCTTTGTTGCCGCTCTGATTAATGCCCTCCTTGCCTGGTCCGTGAGTTTTGGTGGGTGGCCCTCTCTTGGCAGGTTTGTTGTGGTGCCATATTCTTTCAATTTTTTAAATAATGGATTTAATGGTGCTCCGTGGGATGTTCAAAGTGTCGGATATTTTTTTATAACCCAACCCTGATCTGTACTTCTCCACAACTTTGTCCCTGACCTGTTTGGAGAGCACCTTGGTCTTCATGGTGCCGCTTGCTTGGTGGTGCCCCTTGCTTAGTGGTGTTGCAGACTCTGGGGCCTTTCAGAACAGGTGTGTGTGTATATATATATATATATATATATACTGAGATCATGTGACAGATCATGTGACACTTAGATTGCACACAGGTGGACTTTATTTAACTAATGATGTGACTTCTGAAGGTAATTGATTGCACCAGATATTATTTAAGGGCTTCATAGCAAAGGGGGTGAATACATATGCACGCACCACTTTTCCGTTATTTTTTTTTTATTTATTTTTTTAACAAGTGATTTTTTTCATTTCACTTCACCAATTTGGACTATTTTGTGTATGTCCATTACTTGAAATCCAAATAAAAATCTATTTAAATTACAGGTTGTAATGCAACAAAATAGGAAAAACGCCAAGGGGGATGAATACTTTTGCAAGGCACTGTATGTTCCGGCCCCCCGACCATCTGCTCCAGAAAAAATTGGCCCGCGGCTGAATCTAGTTGATGATCCCTGGGGTATTGGGTGTAGATCAGTGACACAATGTAATACTTTTTTAATTCAAGCAGTAACACAACAAAATGTGGAAAAGTCAAGGGGTGTGAATACTTTCTGAAGGCACTGTCGATCTTCTAATGATTAAACCTATTAGATCTAATCATCTCAAGTCCTCTTAGATCTCTCACCAGGGCAATCAATTTGGTGTTGGGCGGATGTCCCCTCTTTATCCTGTGGCTGTACACAGATTACAGCCACACACACAGAGACACACATACACAGCTGACCTTTGACCTCTGGTTGGGTCCATTAGGAGAAGAGCAACCAGGAGATTGACCTGATGTTCAAGCTCAAGTCGCTGCAGCAGAGCTTTGACATGGAGCAGGCAGAGCACAAGGCCACCAAGACACGCCTGGCCGACAAGAACCAGATCTACGAGTCCATCGAAGAAGCCAAGTCTGAGGCCCTGAAAGGTGAGAGAGGGGGGAAGAAAAGGTAGAGGCGATTGGGAATGGATAGATGAGGGAAATGGAGCATAAGATAAAAATATATGTGACAAGAAGAAGCAGGGGGAAAATGGGCCCCACCTACTGAGTGTATGTGTCACTGTCAACAATTTGGATAAAGGTGTTGGCTAAATCAGGGGTTTTCAAACCTCTTCTCTGGGACCCCCAGCTGTTCCATCTATTCTAGCACATCTGCTTCAACTTGTCAACTAATCACCAAGTCCTTGAATAGGTGAATCAGGTGAGCTAGTTCAGGGCTGCAACAAAATAGTGAAACATCTATATTATATTATACAATTGTCTATTATTATCATAACATTGTTTCCATCTTGTGTTTGTCAGGGATGGAGCGGACGCTGCAGGAGGAGCGGAGCTCCAAGCTGCAGTTGGAGTCCAGACTGCTTCACCTGGAGAAGGAGTACTCCATGCTGGACTATGACTACAAGCAGGCTGAGCACAAACTGGACGAGCTGCGCACGCACAAGGACAAACTCGTTGAGGAGGTGTGTGTGTGGGGGGTTCGGGGTTGTGTGTGTGTGGGGGGGGCAAGTCTGTGTGTGTCTCTACATGCATTGTGTGTCTGTGTGAGAGAGCGTGTAAAGGTGTGTGCGCGTGTGTGTATTTATTTGTGTTTCGTGAAGATTTCTCTCTCTCTGTTCCATTAGCTGCAAGAACAGGTCTTGGTGCTGTCTTTACCCTGACTAACCTCACCATATTGCTCTCTCTCTCTCTCTCTCTCTCTCTCTCTCTCGCTCTCTCTCTCTCTCTCTCTCTCTCTCTCTCTCTCTCCTCCCTCTAGGTGAAGAACCTGACCCTGTGTATGGAGCAGGAGGAGCTGAAGCGCAGGCTGAGCCAGAATGACCTGAAGGCCCAAACCCAGCAGGTGAACGCCCTGTGCTCCTCGGAGAAGCAGCTGAAGCAGGAGCGCAACCACCTGCTAGACATGAAGCACAGCCTGGAGAAACAGAGCCAGGAGCTACGCAGGTAGAGGGGATAACGCACACACACATGCTTTATACACACATACACAGTCGGGCTGGCTTGGACATACAGTATGTGTGTGTGAGAGAGAGGATGTGATGGCGAATAGATGTTACTCATCATTAGGTATCAATTCTGTCTTCCCCATGCCTTACGTGGTGGGAGTTGTGTGTGTCGCTTGTTTTAGATTGATTTGACATGGCAGTGATTGAAAGTTATTTTGTCCAATCACAGGGAGAGACAGGAGGCTGACGGACAGCTGAAGGAGTTGAAGGACCAGCTGGAGGCGGAACAGTATTTCACGGTACTGTTGACTTCTAGTCACTCTCCCAAAGTGTGCAAAGACTTTCCCCAAATTACCAGAAATCCTGGTTGGAATACTCCTGAGAAGTTTTGGAAAGTTACCAGAATTTTTGCAACCCTAAGAAATACTATTATTAGCAGTTTCTCAGTCTAGTAATTCTGCTTTCCAGTGTATGGTTATGTCCCAAATGGCACCCTATCCCCTCTATAGTGCAATACTTTTGACCAGAGCCCTATTGGCCCTGGTTAAAAGTAGTGCACTACAGAGGAAATAGGGTGCCATTTGGGACGTACCATGGTTGGTGTGTGTTGACATGACTGTGTCCTCTTTGCCAGACCCTGTACAAGACCCAGATCCGGGAGCTGAAGGAGGAGTGTGATGAGAGGAACAAGCTGTATAAGGACATTCTGCGGAGACTAGAGGAGAACCAGGAGGAGAGGTACTGGAACAGGATCCTACCATAAACTATGCCTTGACATTAGGGTTTGCGAAATTACAGTAACTTTTCCCAAAATTCCCAAAACCCTGGGAATTCCTAGAAAGTTACCGGAATTTTACAACCCTACCTGACGCTCAATTATATCTTTGTTCACACTACTGAGCCGAGCTGTACTGCACGGGTCTGGTTACACATCCACCGTAGTTGCTGGACCCATGGTGGAAAGAACCATTTTGAAAGGAAGATATCATCTTGAACCTCTGAGCACTTCTAACAAGCTCTTGGAGATTAGTGTCATTAGCACAAAGTGAATCTCTCATGGACAAATGGTACCACTTATGTTTAAGTAGTCTGTCCACGAGTGATTAGCATGTAATAATGCGTTCCACCCTTATCATTGGGAAATGATAGCCAGACAATACTGCAGGTAATATGATCAGAGCATAACCTAACCTAACCTCTTGTGATGCCTAGTCTACAGGTGATGTGCCATCAATCACCATATCACAAACACAATGAGCTTTGAGCATCTGACCAAATTTTAGATTATTAGCACTCACTGTAAAGTCACACAGACAAACTTTAAGCTCTAAACTCTTGTTACAGCCAGCCCTGAGGTCCAATGCAGACGTTTTTATCTCAATATCAAATCATTTCTGGGTAACAATTAAGTATTGTTTTCAATTAAAATGGTGGGGAGGGGAAAACTGAAAACTAGCTGTTATTGGCAGAGAGGTTTTGAACTCTTTCTTATTGGTCTATTAACTAATTTAGTTAATAGACCAATATAGACCAGGCAGGCCAAAACTCCATCCCACCAAAACAGGCTGACACTAAACAGCTCTTAGACTATTACACTAAAAGGGCATTATCATAATTTTCACAATTTCACTGTATTATTCTAACCTCATAGTGTGGAAGTATATATAAAACACAGGAAAATCACGTTTTTGACTTGACTGCACTTTTAATAGAAGTGGATATGGAACTCATTGATATACTTAGGCCTAACCTCGGGCCAGCCTTCTCCTATTACAGAGTTTGGCAATGCAAGATTAATGTATTCCTAGGTCAAGTGACCGTCCCGACATACAGTACAGGACACTGATGTCATTAGCTTAATTTTCCCATATTATAGTGCAAAGATTCCCCCAAACCATGATTTTCCTGGTATTCCGGGATTTCCTTTCTGGCCTTCCAGTGACTGCTCTGACATAGAGCACTGGGCTAGATTCAGTCATTTTCCCATACAGTAGTGTCAGTATGTTCCAAAATTCCCATATTCCCTGATATTCCAGGTGTCTCGTTAACTTTGGTCTCGTTAATATTTCCCAGATTATAGTGTAAAATTCCCAAACGTTCCAACATTCCCTGATATTCCTGTTATTCCGGGTCTTCCTTCCCTCAGGGATTCCCTGGCAGTCCAGCTGGAGGTGAGCCTGACCAAGGCAGACTCTGAGCAGCTGGCGCGCTCCATCGCAGAGGAGCAGTACTCCGATCTGGAGAAGGAGAAGATCATGAAGGAGCTGGAGATCAAGGACATGATGGCCCGACACAGGCAGGAGCTAGGAGACAAGGAGGCCACCATCGGCTCGGTGAGGGGGTGGGGGGGATTGGGTAGAGAGAGAGTCAGAGCAGGGAGGAAGAGAGACAGACAGAGAGAGGGAGAGATACAAAGAGAGAGACTGAGGCTTGAGTTCAATCAGTGAAATTAGAATGTTGTCAAAGAGAGGGTGTCACTGAATACTGTTGAGACCCCTCCCCCACTGTACTTAGTGTCTGTAATGCTCACCTGTCATCTGCTGCCCCCTACAGCTGGAGGAGTCCAACCGCACCCTGACCGTGGACGTGGCCAACCTGGCCAATGAGAAAGAGGAGCTCAATAACCAACTGAAGGAGATGCAGCAACGTGAGTAGCCCCCCCCCCCCCCCTACCCCTACCCCTACCCCTACCTCTCCCTACCTACTTTGAGCCCAGGTCCACAGTGTCAAGAATGTTACAGAAATGTTTGTTCTTGGTTTGGTGATGGAGGATTCCATGTACTCTCAAGGTCATCACAGTATCCAGAATGTTACATAGATGTGGTGAGAATGCTTTGTGCTGTCCAGAACACTCTAGGGATGTTGTCAGAATGTTTGGTATTGGTTTGGTTCACAGAGCTCCAGAAGGCCAGGGAGGAGGAGAGACATATGAACAGCGTGAAGATGTCCTTCGAGAAGCATCTGCAGACGGAAAGAACGCTTAAGATACAGGTGAGAGACTGTTTGGATGTGTATCACGTGATTTAGCTGGCTAGTAAGCACTGGTTAGCTACAATGAGTGTCGCTGCAAAAGTAGTGTCGCCCTTTCCCAACCAAGACCATGTTATTGGTATGGTAATAGTGAGCATAACACGTTAGCTCCTGGAGTACAACGTTTCAGGGGGTTCATGGTCCTGGGTTCAGCAGAACAGATACAGAACTCAAATGTTACATATTATGCATCTATCTATTCAGTGAATATATAGGGTCAGTTGCCTAGTCCCGGACTAAAAAACTATATAGAATCTCCATCAGAAACGCTTTTTGTTCCAGGACTAGGCTGAATCTGGGAAACCAGCACATAAAGTATTTTTCATTGAGAATATACACTGAGTGTACAAAACATTAGGAACACCTGCTCTTTCCATTTTTTTTTCTTTTTTGTCATTTAGCAGATGCTCTTATCCAGAGCGACTTACAGTTAGTGAGTGCATACATTATTATTTTTGCAATTTTTTATTTTTTCATACCGGCCTCCCATGGGAATCGAACCCACAACCCTGGCATTGCAAACGCCATCCCTGCCGGCCAAACCCTCCCCTACCTTGGACGACGCTGGGCCAATTGTGCGCCGCCCCATGTCTCCCGGTCGCGGCCGGCTACGACAGAGCCTGGATTCGAACCAGGATCTCTAGTGGCACAGTTAGCACTGCGATGCAGTGCCTTAGACCACTGCGCCACTCGGGAGGCTTCCATGACATACACTGGCCAGTTGAATCCAGGTGAAAGCTATGATCCCTTATTGATGTCGCCTGTTAAATCCACTTCAATCAGTGTATATGAAGGGGCAAGAATGTGTGCCATTCAGAGGGTGAATGGGCAAGACAAAATATTTAAGTGCCTTTGAACGGGGTATGGTAGTAGATGCCAGGAGCACCGATTTGAGTGTGTCAAGAACTGCTACGCTGCTGGGTTTATCACGCTCGAATGTTTCCCGTGTATCAAGAATTGTCCACCACCCAAAGAACATCCAGCCAACTTGACACAACTGTGGGACGCATTGTAGTCAACATGAGCCAGCATCCCTGTGGAAAGCTTGACACCTTGTAGAGTCCATGTCCCAACGAATTGAGGATGTTCTGAGAGCAAAAGGTGGTGCAACGCAGTATTAGGAAAGTGCTCCTAATGTTTTGTACACAGTGTATATTGCGGTGTGTTGTCCATTTCTGTCCCCATAACCTATTGTATGGCCGTATCCACCAGGCGGTCAACAAGCTGTCTGAAATCATGAACCGGACGGAGACGATGCGTACGGGTCACCGCCGCGACGAAACCCTGGACGTGCGCAGGAAGGAGAAGGAGAACAGGAAGCTACAGCTGGAGCTGAGGTCGGAGAAGGAGAAACTCAACAGCACCATCATCAAGTACCAGAGAGAGATCAACGACATGCAGGCGGTCAGTCTAAAACACAACCACAACCTTACACTAACCATCACACAACCACTTAAACAGGTAGTCGGTCCAACCAAAACACAACCACAACCTTATGCTAACCATCACACAACCTTATACTAACCATCGCACAACCACTTAAACAGGTTGTCAGTCCAACCAAAACACAACCACAACCTTAAACTAACCATCATCACACAACCACTTGTTGCTGTGAACATTTACTATAAGAGCATTTCACATTTTGTTATTACTAGGCAGTGCTGTGGGAAGAAAGTGAGGCCAGTTGGCTGGAATGGCCTCCCAAAGTCACATCGATATAAAGACACCAGTAAATACTACCTACTTGACGCTACTTCAGCTAAAAGTGTGTGTGTGTGTGTGTGTGTTTCCATCAGTGGAAGGTGCTGAGGGGAGGACAGGCTTGTGGTAATGGAATGGCATCAAACATATGGAAACCATGTGTCTGATACCATTCCACCTATTCCGCTCCAGCCATTACCACGAGCTCTCCTCCCCAATGTAGGTGCCACCAACCTCCTCTGGTTTCCATCTGTACTGTAGGTGTTATCAGACGAGAGCCAGGTACGCATCGAGCTGCAGATGGCCTTGGACAGTAAGGACAGTGACATTGAGCAGCTGCGCTGTCAGCTGACCTCTCTTAGCATCCACTCTATAGACTCCACCAGCATCAGCAGCGGCAACGACCTGGACATGGACGACAGCTGTCACCCAGGTAAGACCACTCTCACACCCCTCACTTTAACACTGGCCACTTAACTCTTAAAGTCGAAACCCTTAATAGGCAGGTGTTACATTTATGTACTCAAATGTTCAGTGTTTTGACTTGAGCGTTAAATAATTCATATTTAACATTCAAGTCCCCTGTAGCTCAGTTGGTAGAGCATGGCGCTTGCAACGCCAGGGTTGTGGGTTCATTTCCCACGGGGGGCCAGTATGAGAATGTATGCACTCAAAATGTATGCACTACTAAAATGTAAGTCAAAGCACTGAACACTCCTCTCTATCAATCCCTCTATCCTTCCCTATCTCTCTGTCTCAACACAGTTTTCCTCACGCCTTGATTTTCCCACCTGTCACTCCTTTATTGACTTTCCCACCCCTTCTTTCACTGTGCCTAAACATCTGCTTTGAATACACCTTTAATTCCTTATTCTTGCATTTTTTCCCTTTCTTTCTTTCCCTTCAATATCCACTCCCTCGCTCCCTCTCTCTCTGTCTGTTGTGATGGCGTTTTGTGCATCAGTCACTCCCACACCTCCGAGTACATGTCCTTTCACTACCAGCGCAGGCAGAAATCTGTCAGCATTGCCAGCCGGCCCTCCTTTAGAGTGGCTCACCCTCTCTTTGTCTCCGACTCTGAGAATGAGGATCAGGTAGAGGAAGAGTATAAAGGAAATTATCGGCGGTTAGAACATGGCCGCCGACCTTTGACCCTCACCTATGAGCAGCTGTCTCCAGAGCCTGACTGCAGCGGTGCAGGTGACCCCGCATGGTGGTTCAAAGTTCAAACGCAACGAAGCTAGTTGCCAAAATACGCATCCTCTCTATCCCGCCTCGGCAGTCTGTCTGTCTGTAACACTCCCGGCAGTGACTCTGCAGTGCTACTAATAGTGGTTGGTGTATCACAGCTGTGTGCGGAACGTCGCAGCCTAACATTGTGTGGCCCCTGTTAACCTTGAGTCTAGTCAACTCAAACTATGTGGACTGTCAAAGCTTTTCCCGTTTTTAATAGATCCAGTGTAGGGATCGTGAGCTGCATCTCAAATGGCTCCCTATTCCTTATATAGTGCACTACTTTGTCCAGAAATGGCACCATTTTGGATAAGGAATAGGGTGCCTTTTTTTTTTTTTTCAGGCACCATTAGTAGATTCATTTAGAAAAATACAAACCTTTGTAGGGAAGGCATGTAAAAGATGTATAGGGATAATTAGCTACAGAGCATTACATGATGCATGCAACACGTTTCCACAAAAACGTTTTAAAAGGTTGAAACAATGAAGTGTGGATCCTAACATCAGCTCTCTGCAGTATGTAACAGAGCTGTAATGAAGCTCTTATGAAGCAATATTCATGTACTTCCTGTATGCAAAACAGATACCAGGCTGGAGGGCTGGCTTTCACTTCCTGTGAAGAACACCAAGAGATTTGGATGGGATAGAAGGGTATGGTGCCCCTTCTGGCTCTCTGACTATACTGTACCTGATTATTGGTCTTTATTGATTATTCCACTGACACATGAGTCCTACTGTGTGATTTTGGCTTTTGCCCTGCTCTCTCTCTCTCTCTCTCTCTCTCTCTCTCTCTCTCTGACAGTACGTGGTGGTAAGCAGTAAGAAGATCTTGTTCTACAATAGTGAGATGGACCGAGAGCAGTCCAACCCCTACATGATCCTAGACATTGAGTGAGTCACAAACCTTGTTTGTCCTCATTTGACCTTTTTTTCTCACCTGTGAGACTGCTTCTATTGAGATGAACTTTTTTTTCTTTCTATTGAGATATCATTTTACCCTTCTTTCCTCCATGCAGTAAGCTGTTCCATGTCCGACCGGTCACTCAAACAGACGTTTACCGTGCTGACAGCAAAGAAATACCCAGGATATTCCAAGTGACAATTCAAATTGACATCAATATCTTTTCTTCGAGACTTTCAACAGAATCCTCAGTTACAGAAACGTAACATATTCTCTGCTCCTTACTCCTCTTCCCTCTCTTCCATCTCTCCCCCGCACAGATCCTGTACGCCAATGAGGGCGAGAGCAAACGGGAGCAGGAGTTTGCGGTGGAGCCGGTGGCACTGGCGGGCGAGCGCTCGTCCTACGTCATGCACAAGGGTCACGAGTTCATCCCCACGCTCTACCACCTGCCGTCGAGCTGTGAGGCATGCACGCGGCCCCTGTGGAACGTGTTCAAGCCGCCACCAGCGCTTGAGTGCCGCCGCTGCCACACCAAGTGCCACAAGGACCACTTGGACCGGAAGGAAGAGGCCATCGCCCCCTGCAGGGGTCAGTAAGAGGGGAATGGTCACAATATTTAACCCTCCCTTGCCTCCCACGTTCCATAAAACTGTCACGTACGTCAGGGTAAGGAGTAGACCAAGGCGCAGCGTTGCAGGCAAACATACTCATTTATTGAGCGAAACGCGAACAAAACAACAAAAGACGGAAACGTGACAGTACACGGTATAACACAACCAACTTGAAACAAGAACCCACAAAACACAAAGGAAAACCGACAGTTTAAATATGGCTCCCAATCAGAGACAACCAGCAAACAGCTGACACTCGTTGCCTCTGACTGGGAGTCACTCAGGCCAACCTAGACATAGAACAACTAGACACTCAAACACAGCACATAAACACACGGAATCTACACACCCTGACTCAACATATAAAGTCCCCAGAGCCAGAGTGTGACAGTACCCCCCCCCCCCCAAAGGCGCGGACCGCGACCGCGCCTCAACAAAACCCCAAACAGGGGAGGGCTGGGTGGGCATTCCTCCTCGGAGGCGGCTCCGGCTCCGGGCTTGACCACCACCCCTCCATAATTCCCCCGTAGCGCCCCTGGTCCGGTCTGACCCCGCTGGCTGGATCTGGACCGGACATCGACGGAGCGGATTGCTTACGCTCCGTTGTGGAGCAGCTGACCGGTACCTGATCAGGCACCAGACTGACGACGCGCACCCCTGGCTTGGCGCGTGAGGCAGGAACGGACCGGACCTGGCTGACGACGCGCCCCCCTGGCTTGGTGCGTGGAGCAGCAACGGACCGGAACGGGCTGACGATACGCACCCCTGGCTTGGTGCGTGGAGCCGGAACGGGCCTCACCGGACTGACGACTCGCACCCTTGGCTTGGTGCGTGGAGCAGCGACGGGCCTTACCAGGCTGACGACTCGCACCCCGGGCTTGGTGCGAGTGGCAGGAACGGGCTGGACCAGGCTGACGACTCGCACCCCTGGCTTTGTGCGAGTGGCAGGAACGGGCTGGACCCGGCTGACGACGCACACCGTAGGCTTGGTGCGTGGAGCAGGGACAGGCCGGGCTGGGCTGGCGACGCACACCGTAGGCTTGGTGCGTGGAGCAGGGACAGGCCGGACCGGGCTGGCGACGCGCACCGTACACTTGGTGCGAGGGGCTGGAACAGGCCGGACCGTACTGGGTACACACACCACTGGCTCTACCTCGGGATCTGGAACGGGCCGGACCGGACTGGTAACACACCCCAGTACCTCTCGCCGTGCCTCTACACCTTCCCTCCCTGCTTTGACCAGTGGCCCCCGTAACCTGGTGGCCTTCTGAATCCGGCCCTTTTCTGCCTCCGTCAGCCCCGTCGTCCATGCCATGTGCCCCCTCCTAAAATTTTTTTGGGGTTGCCTCTCGACCATCCAACGCTGACACTGCTTACGCCGTTGCTCCTCTCTCCGTCGCCTCTCAATTGTCTCACTCCATGGCCGGCGATCCATCCCGGCCAGGATCTCCTCCCAGGTCCAGGACCCCTGCCCGTCCAAAATCTGTTCCCACGTCCAGGCTGCTGATTCCTGGACACGCTGCTTGGTCCTTTTATGGTGGGTTCTTCTGTCACGTACGTCAGGGTAAGGAGTAGACCAAGGCGCAGCGTTGCAGGCAAACATACTCATTTATTGAGCGAAACGCGAACAAAACAACAAAAGACGGAAACGTGACAGTACACGGTATAACACAACCAACTTGAAACAAGAACCCACAAAACACAAAGGAAAACCGACAGTTTAAATATGGCTCCCAATCAGAGACAACCAGCAAACAGCTGACACTCGTTGCCTCTGACTGGGAGTCACTCAGGCCAACCTAGACATAGAACAACTAGACACTCAAACACAGCACATAAACACACGGAATCTACACACCCTGACTCAACATATAAAGTCCCCAGAGCCAGAGTGTGACAAAAACTCTATGAACCCAGTGTTGTTCAGCCATAGAGTTCTAAAACCCAGAGCCACTTTCCCGTTTAGGTTTTATATTTCTGTGGGTGAACGCCACTGGGTTCATAGGGTTTTATGGGCATATGGGCAAGCGAGGGTTAAATATTATTTAGGCGTTTTCGAACAATAGGAATTACTGTTTAGAATGTTAGTCCCCCTTGAACATTGCCACTTTAGCGATTTGTATTATTAAGACAGTCAAGTTAAAGCACATTTTGGTAGGCATACATATTAGTCAGTTTTCTTTAAATAAATTGTTTACCTGTATTAGTGGATTCGCTAACTTCAACCCTCCTCCCTCCTCAGTGAACTACGACATATCCACGGCCAAAGACCTACTCCTATTGGCCGGCTCTCAGGAGGAGCAGCAGCGATGGGTCAGCCGGCTAATCAAACGCATCCCCCGGAAACACCCTGGCCCCGCCCCCGCCTCCGTGGCCCAAGCCCCCGAGCCACCCTCCCACTCCTCCCCCCGACTCTCCCCCGATGCCTCCCCCCGCAACTCCCCGAGCCTGTCCCCCCACCGCGGAGCCGTCAAGGTCCAGCCTAGTCGCCAGCAGACTCAGCCTGCAGGGAAGTCCAGGTAAGACTATGGATGGGGTGAAGAGGGTCGCTTTCAGACCTGGGTTCAAATAGTTTTTGGAAATCTTTCAAATACACTGCTCAAAAAAATAAAGGGAACACTAAAATAACACATCCTAGATCTGAATGAATGAAATAATCTTATTAAATACTTTTTTCTTTACATAGTTGAATGTGCTGACAACAAAATCACACAAAAATTATCAATGGAAATCAAATGTATCAACCCATGGAGGTCTGGATTTGGAGTCACCCTCAAAATGAAAGTGGAAAACCACACTACAGGCTGATCCAACTTTGATGTAATGTCCTTAAAACAAGTCAAAATGAGGCTCAGTAGTGTGTGTGGCCTCCACGTGCCTGTATGACCTCCCTACAATGCCTGGGCATGCTCCTGATGAGGTGGCGGATGGTCTCCTGAGGGATCTCCTCCCAGACCTGGCCTAAAGCATCCGCCAACTCCTGGACAGTCTGTGGTGCAACGTGGCGTTGGTGGATGGAGCGAGACATGATGTCCCAGATGTGCTCAATTGGATTCAGGTCCGGGGAACGGGCGGGCCAGTCCATAGCATCAATGCCTTCCTCTTGCAGGAACTGCTGACACACTCCAGCCACATGAGGTCTAGCATTGTCTTGCATTAGGAGGAACCCAGGGCCAACCGCACCAGCATATGGTCTCAGAAGGGGTCTGAGGATCTCATCTCGGTACCTAATGGCAGTCAGGCTACCTCTGGCGAGCACATGGAGGGCTGTGCGGCCCCCCAAAGAAATGCCACCCCACACCATGACTGACCCACCGCCAAACCGGTCATGCTGGAGGACGTTGCAGGCAGCAGAACGTTCTCCACGGCGTCTCCAGACTCTGTCACGTCTGTCACGTGCTCAGTGTGAACCTGCTTTCATCTGTGAAGAGCACAGGGCGCCAGTGGCGAATTTGCCAATCTTGGTGTTCTCTGGCAAATACCAGACGTCCTGCACGGTGTTGGGCTGTAAGCACAACCCCCATCTGTGGACGTCGGGCCCTCATACCACCCTCATGGAGTCTGTTTCTGACCGTTTGAGCAGACACATGCACATTTGTGGCCTGCTGGAGGTCATTTTGCAGGGCTCTGGCAGTGCTCCTCCTGCTCCTCCTTGCTCAAAGGCGGAGGTAGCAGTCCTGCTGCTGGGTTTTTGCCCTCCTACGGCCTCCTCCACGTCTCCTGATGTACTGGCCTGTCTCCTGGTAGCGCCTCCATGCTCTGGACACTACGCTGACAGACACAGCAAACCTTCTTGCCACAGCTCGCATTGATGTGCCATCCTGGATGAGCTGCACTACCTGAGCCACTTGTGTGGGTTGTTGACTCCGTCTCATGCTACCACTAGAGTGAAAGCACTGCCAGCATTCAAAAGTGACCAAAACATCAGCCAGGAAGCATAGGAACTGAGAAGTGGTCTGTGGTCACCACCTGCAAAATCAGTCCTTTATTGGGGTGTCTTGCTAATTGCCTATAATTTCCACCTGTTGTCTATTCCATTTGCACAACAGCATGTGAAATGTATTGTCAATCAGTGTTGCTTCCTAAGTGGACAGTTTGATTTCACAGAAGTGTGATTGACTTGGAGTTACATTGTGTTGTTAAAGTGTTCCCTTTATTTTTTTGAGCAGTGTACTTTGAACATTTGCTTGAGCCTGCCTGGAATGCCAGATCGGTGGTGTTTGTGCTTTTGGGGCTATTCCGTTGGTTACACTGCACCAGACAAGCTTAATCAAGAGATGTTAACCCTTTACACTCGTGGGAATTGGCCTATATGGATATGGCTAAATATAAATGTTTCTTACAGAAGAAATATGAAAACGCATATGCATAACAGTTAATCTGACATAAGACTGAATCCAAACATTACACTGTTGATTTAATGTGTATTTTACATTTACTGTACTTTTTGATGCATTTGTTGATAATGAAATCTGAAAATACTCTGGATACATGAAATAACAAATTTGGGGTAGATGCAACATAAGACAAACAAATGATAAGGGTTAGAGTGAGAGGTCAGGGCTCCGGTCAGGCCAGTCAAGTTCTTCCACACCAATCTCAACAAGCCATTTCTGTATGGACCTCGCTTTGTGCACGGGGGCATTGTCATGCTGAAATGGGAAAGGGCCTTCCCCAAACTGTTGCCACAAAGTTGGAAGCACAGAATCGTCTAGAATGTCATTGTATTCTGTAGCGTTAAGATTTCACTTCACTGGAACTAAGTGGCCTAGCCCGAACCATGAATAACAGCCCCAGACCATTATTCCTCCTCTACTAAACTTTAGAGTTGGCACTATGCATTGTGGCAGGTAGCATTCTCCTGGCATCCGCCAAACCCAGATGCGTCCGTCGGACTGCCAGATGGTGAAGTGTGATTCATCACTCCAGAGAACACATTTCCACTGCTCCAGAGTCCAATGGCGGCGAGCTTTACACCACTCCAGCCGACGCTTGGCATTGCGCATTGTGATTTTAGGCTTGTGTGCATCTGCCCTGCCATGGAAACCCATTTGAAGCTCCCGACGAACAGTTATTGTGCTGACGTTGCTTCCAGAGGCAGTTTGTAACTCCTTAGTGAGTGTTGCAATTGAGGACAGACGATTTTTACGGGCTACGCGTTTCAGCACTCTGCGGTCCCGTTCTGTGAGCTTGTGTAGCCTACCACTTCGCGGCTGAGCCGTTGTTGCTTCTAGACATTTCCACTTCGCAATAACAGCACTTACAGTTGACCGGGGCAGCTCTAGCAGGACAGAAATTTGACAAACTGACTTGTTGGAAAGGTGGCATCCTATGACAGTGCCACGTTGAAAGTCACTGAGCTCTTCAGTAAGGCCATTCTACTGCTACTGTTTGTCTATGGAGATTGCATGGCTGTGTGCTCGATTTACACCTGTCAGCAACGGGTGTGGCTGAAATAGCCGTATCCACTAAAATGAAGAGGTGTCCATATACTTTTGGCCATGCAGTGTATAAGGTGCTATTCTGAGCTCTCCTAACTGTGCTGTTGCCGAACTAGAGCAAGCAGATTTGTAGTTGTTTTGTTTGCAACACAGCCCTGCATCCCCCCCCCCCCCCCCCCCCCCCCCCCCCCCCCCCCCATCACACAATTACTGTTGTTTATGCAATCCAAAAACGGTCCATTATAAATCACAATATGGTCAGGTGGGCATCATTTGTAAGCGTGTTCTATTGCCAACATGGCTAGCTAAGTTACAAAATACGATCTTACAGTGTTAGGCTTTTACATGGCAATTCAGAGAAGCAGATCGTAATTTGGTGCGCCTCGAATAGAGTCACGAGTGCATTCAGATGCGTGTTCCCCGCAAAATTTCTTCACAATATGACAAACATAGGTTCATTCTGTTGAGAGCAATCCAGGGTATGACCCCATGTCATCTTGTAACTGTACATCAAGCATGGTGGTCATAAACGATGGCACTGTATATTACATTCGTTTTATGATATGGAAATGTGAAGTGCGCTTTTGGACTCACAAGTTTTTGGCTTGCTTGTGTGACATGAAAGTGGTATTTATAATAATCTTCAACGTCTCATCTTTCAAAATACATATAGTCCTCTTAACTTACAGCATTTCTCTCACTCAGACAACAAAACATTTGCAAAAGTTGCCCAATTAGCTTGGGAGATGGGGGCAACTTCTTGTCGCCCGTGGTGCTCAAGTTCAAAACCGATGTCAGTAAAAATCAATACTGCACTGTGAAACAGAGACCTTGAGCTCTGACGTCATGTATAGCATGTTACTGCGTTCCAATTTCCAATCTGTGTCCAAATCTGCCATTTTCAACCCATATATGGGTATGAGTGTAAAGAGTAAAGGTTTTTGAAAGATTTTAATTACTATTTAAACCCATGATCTGTTAGGTTTGTGTGTAAACCTGGGTCATGTTCAGTAGTCCACAACTTTGCAAAACCTTTTGCAGCGCGAAGCAAAAACCAGCGTTCTTATTGGATAAGTTCAGGTTGTACCTTCCCATTCAAAATGTTTTCTCCCTACTGAACATGGCACTGGTTAAATAAAACGAGATGGATAGACAGCTAATGTATTCATAAATCAGACGTGTGTTACCTGATATTGGATTTGCTTTTCTTGGCAAATATAATATATCTGTCCGTTTGGTCAACACAGCATACTCTTTATCTCACCCCATGTTCATTGTTCATCTATCTCATCTTTATCTCATTTATTTTAAACTGTGTAGTGTAGGAGTGCACTTGTCAGCATATTCATTCTTGGAACTCTCCACAGTGATGACATGATACTTTTATTTCAGACCAGTGCTATCTCGCTCAGCTCCATGTCAGTTCATGAGTTAATAAGTAATTTAGCTAACTTATCTTATAAACTAATCTGCAATCTTGGCATAATGTTCTTGGTGCTACTTAAGTTTAATATGGACAATACTTAACCAGGTCACATAACCCGGAAACAGATTAAACCTAGTCCTGGATTTAAACACACTTTCAATGGAGATTCTCCATTGAGCTTACTTAGTTGCCAGATATTTTCTCAGTTCTGCTTTCAGCTCAACACTATACAGGGCTTGACATTAACTTTTTTAGCCACTGCCCCTTTAAGGCTCTCCTGGAGGATGGTTGGCACTCTTGGTAGCCTATAAAACATTGCAACGTTACAATTATAGCAAAATACTTTTTATGTCTTTTATAAAATAATTCCTTCCAGGGCTCGACATTAAGAGCGTCCCGTCGTCCCTGGGACGATAGAAAATAGGTATAAGGTCCGAAATTCAAATATTATGTTTTTAAAAAAGCAATGAGGCTGATGGAACAGATAAGACCGTTTAGCATAAAATGTTGATAACGTTGTATTTCTTTATATTATAAGCTCAACAAAGTACGCATGGCTGTAGGGTACGCGTGAATGTTCCAAAATGCAATTAGCGGAAAACACAATTTTCAGAAGCGCACAGCTTGCAAGAGCGGTTTCATGTGACAGAGCTGAA